CGCGGGTCCAGCCCGGCCCGCCCCAGGCGCAGCGCGCACTTGGCCGTCGGCGCCACGCCGCTTCCCGGGGGCGGCAGCAGGAGCAGCAGCAGCAGCAGAAAGAGCATCCCGGGCGTGCTTGGGCGGCGAGGGTCGGAAAGGGACAAGGCGGCGCCCCCTGGAAGACCGAGGCTGCCCCCCCGCAGATGAGCGCAGCCTGCTAGCGCTGCCGGTCTGAAGCGGGCCAGGATGCAGACCCTCTCTTTCCCGCGCTCTCTGTCCCTGTCTCTCTCAATATCTCTCTCTCACACACACACACACAGGGAGAGCACCACCCCACGGCGCAACGCTCATCCCAGCCCTCGGGGAGGCAGCGGCGGCATTTATGCTCCGGGCAGCCCCCCTTTGCAGACGTGGCCGCCCAGCCCTCTGGGACCCCGTGTTACTGTCAGGGGACGGAGAGGCTGTTTCAGTCATGGGGAGCCCCCTGGGGCCTCGGCAAGTGGGGTGAAAATGAGGGTAATTTGGGAATTGCAAGGGAGGGTGGGCAGCCAAGGAAAACATGCAGGAAGCCCTGGGGGGTGCAGGGCATCTGCCCCAGCTGGAGCAGCCATGGGGGCAGGTGGGCACAGGCCCGGCCTTCCGCCCTGCAGAGTTGGGGCTTTGGGGGCCCTGCTCTGGGGGGCTCCACTCCTACCTGGCCATCCAATTTCAGACGGTGGTGCTCGGGGATTATGACTCTGCGCCCGGGCAGTGAGCCCACGGGGCACCACTGGGCTCTATTCCATTCCCCCATGCTCTGCAACACTGACAGGAACCTGCCTGGGAATGTGGGCTGAGGTATCATCCATATGCGGATGGACCCTGGTTCTGCCTCTCTTTTTCATCGGCCCGAGCTATTCGGAGGCCTTCCACTACCCCGAATTGCTTGCTGTCTTCAGCAAACCCAGCCACTTCAGTGCTCCCTCCAAGCTCCAGCCCTGCCCCCAACTGCAATTCCTGTAGGACCCCACTTAGAATCATAGAATATTAGAGTTGAACGGGGCCATGAAGTCCATCGAGAGCAACCCGCTGCTATTGCAGGACACCAAGTTACGCCATCCCACTCAGAGGGGCTGCCCAGTTTCTTTTCGAATGCCTCCAGGGTGGGAGAGCCCACCACCTCTCTGGGCAGCTGGTTCCACTGTCCCATTGCTCTGACAGGGAGGAAGCTCTTCCTGATGTCCACCCTGAATCCGGGTTGTCGGAACTTGAATTGCTCATTCCATGTCCACTTTGGCATCACCGAGATCTTGGCCTTCCTCCTTGTGACAGCCTTTGAGGGACTGTCCCCCCTCAGTCTTCTCTTCTCAAGGCTGAACATGCCCAGTTCCCTCAGTCTCTCCTCACAGGGCAGTGTTTCCAAACCCTGGATCATGTCTCTTGCCCTCCACCAGACCCTTTCTAATTTATATGCATCTTTCTTAAATCTTGGTGCCCAGAACTGGACACAGCATTCCAGGTGGGCTCTGACTAGCAAGGAGTATAGAGGAACTACTACGTCTCATGATTTGGAAGGAATACTTCTATTAACGCATCCCAAAATAGCATTTGCCCTTTTGGCAGCTGCATTGCATTATTGGCTCATGTTTAGCCTATTGTCCACAATTACTCCAATATCCTTTGCTTTTTTCAGTTCTGTTGAGCCATGTGTTCCTTATCTTGTATTGATGCATTTGGCTTCTTGTTGATATGAGATGGGGAAAACATGGGGAACACCTGCTGTCTTCCTCCTCTGGGAGTAGTTTCCATGTATACCTTCCCTCTGCTTTCTGCCGGCAACCGCTTGCTGATCCGCAGGAGGGCCGCTCCCTTCGATTCAGTCCCTGCAATGATTGCACAGGGGCCTTTGGTGAAGGACTTGGTCAAGGGCCTTCTGGAGACCCACTTAGCCATGTCCACTGGGTCGTCCCCGTCCACGTGCTGATCGGCACTCTCGAAACTCTAATGGCCTAGCAAGACAGGAAGAAAAGCCGGCTCAGGATTCTTAGCTGGAATGCAAGGCCACGAGGCCCTGAACGAAGCCTGGGGAACACCAGAGCAGGCTGAGAAACTCAGTGGAACAGACCGAGCCAGGGAGGGGTGTATGTGGGACGACCAGCCCTGCAGTCCAGGGTTCACTTGAGCAAGGTCCCGGTTCTGGCCCCCGTTAAGCCGTGACACTCCCTGCATGCCTTCGGGCTGCTCATCGTGTCTCAGCCCAACCTACCCCAAAGGGCTGTTGCCGTGAGGAGAACATGGCACAGAGGAGGACCTTCCAAGCCACCCAGGCTCCTTGCAGTGGTGCAGCCACACATAAAATAAGCCCATCACCACAGTGATGAAACAAACCAAGAAAAGACCTTTAGTCAGCAGGAATCACTGAAGAAGCTGCCAGTCAAGAAAATGCCAGGCCCTCCCGGCAGGTTCTCCCTTCCCCCCGCAACTGATCTGCCATCCACGGAGAGGCCCCTGAGCCCTTGCGGCCCCCTCTCACTGCTGGGCAGATGCAAGCAGAGGGAGGAGGCCACGCTTTCATGGCAAATCTCTCGGCGTGGCTTACAGCACTTCCTAGAAACAGTATGCGACACAGCAAGAACCAACAGAACAGTTTTCCAGACAACAGTGTTTAAAACGGTCTTAGCGAAGTACAAGCATTTAGGAGCTGAGTGAGCAGACCTGTTTGAAGCGCCGGACTTATCAAGCCACTGCAAAACCTCAAGGGTCTGAAAAGACAACAGAGGCCTCTTTTCACCTAGTCCTAGGAGGATAATGATGTTGGTGCTGGGAAGACCTCAGCAGGAAGAACTTTCCACACTCAGGGGGCCAGCAGTGAGAAGACCCCCCCCCCATAGTTGCTGTTTCCTTCCAAGGAGGGGGCAGCAGGGCAAGGCCCCCGATCTCACAATGTTTTGAGAGGCATTCTGCCCAGAGTTGCGGTCCAAGCCGGGATGGGCAGGGCAGCAAAGACACAGAGCTCATTGGCGACACCTGGTGGAACGGAGAGAACCAGCAGGAGTTGGGCACCAGCTCTGCAGGAGGGACCGGGAACTGCAGGCTGCACAGGGGAAGTGAAGGCAGGCAAGGAGATACAAAGACACTTTGAAGAGCATCAGGCCAGCTACATTCAGGCCAACTGCAAGGAATTCTATTGAATGGACCGGAAGCTGCCTTGCCCACACTGAGCTTCTACGGTTGGAGGGCCAAACTCTCCAAGCGTTGCCTCCAATCTCCTGTCCTGCGTAGGGTGGCTAGTTCAGAGAGTACAGGCAGTCACCCTGGGATGGCTTTTTCTGCACGGTCCTTTTGAGAGGCTTATCTTCTGTGTCTTATGCATGACGTCAAATGGCTTGACTCCAACCACAGCTCATTTTGCAGTCTAAACATGTGAAATGCTTCTCCCTTTGTGAGTTATTTGATGTGAGTTAAGACTAGACTCTGACTAAACCTCTTTCCATATCCTGAGTAAATTCTATGTTTTTTTTTAAAGGTCAGTGCTGCAATTAAAGCCATATCCATGCTCAGAGCATCTGCAGGTCTTCTCTGTATGAGTTCTTTGACCTCAGTTAAGGTAGGAGCCCAACTAAATTAAATTGGGAAATCTGAATGAACTTTTTGCGAGAATCTTGCCATTTATGCTTCTCCCCAAGTGCATTCTTTGATGAACTTTAAGGCTTTGACCATGCCTGAAGCTCTTTTCACACTCAGATCAGCTGTAGGATTTCTCACTTTGGATTCTTTCATGTGAGTTAAGTTTGGACCTCTGACTGAACCTCCTGCCACACTCGGAGCATTCAAAGGATTTCTCCCCTGTGTGAATTCTTAGATGCGAGTTAAGGGAAGAGTTCTGATTGAACCTCTTTCCACACTCTGAGCATTCATAGGCCTTTTCCCCTGAGTGAATTCTCTGTGGTTTTTTAAGGTCAGAGCTCCAACTAAAGCTATTCCCTCACTTGGAGCATTTGAAGGGCTTCTCCCCTGTGTGGGTCCTTTGATGACATTTAAGGTAAGAACTCTGATTGAAGCTCTTTCCACACTCCGAACATTTATCAGGCTTCTCCCCTGTGTGAATCATTCGATGTGAGTTAAGGTAAAATGTGCTACAGTAACTTTCCACACTCTGAGCATTTAAAGGGCTTCTCTCCTGTGTGAATTCTTTGATGGGAGCTAAGGACAGAACTCCGGTTGAAGCTCTTTCCACACTCTGAGCATTCATAGGGTCTTTCCCCTGAGTGGATTCTCTGATGTCTTTTAAGATCAGAGCTCCAAATAAATATCTTTCCACATTTTGAGCATTTGAAGGGCTTCTTCCTTGTGTGAATTCTTTGATGGGAGTTAAAGACACAACTTCGACTGAACGTCTTGCCACACTCTGAGCATTTGAAGGGCTTCTCCCCTGAATGGATTCTTTGATGTCGTTTAAGGCCAGAGCTCTGACTGAAGCTCGTTCCACATTCTGAACATTTATAGGGTTTCTCCCCAGTGTGAATTCTTTGAGGTGAGTAAAGGTGAGATCTGCAGCTGAAGTTCCTTCCACACTCAGAGCATTTCCACGTTTTCTCCCTGTTCCCAATAATTCTTTCAATGCTTTCTGCTAGAATAACACGGTCACGGAAGTCAGCCCCTTCAGCGTTGTTCCACCCCTTCCACTCATCTTCAGTTTTCCTTCTCTGCTGTTCCCCCTTTTTACTGAGCTTCTTCCTACCAGCTGAAAGAAGGAAAGGAGATTTTTCCTCAATATAAGCAGCAAAAGCAGGTTGAGACCTTATTTAATCAATATTTTAATATATTTTAATATTGAATTTTATTATTGTATTTTATTATTTTATTTTGCAGCCAGAGTGGGTCATCAATTTATTTATGCTGTAAGCCATCCAGAGACATAAGTAATTGGACAGCATACAAATTTAGATCAGATGAGGAGAAATTGTGTGGTGGAGTGGAATCATAATTACCAGAAGCCAGAGTGGATTTCTCAAGAACAAGTCTTGCCACATGAATCTGGTCTCATTTTTGATCAGGTGCTCACCCCAGTGGACTCTGGGAATGCTGTGCACATCATCGATCTTGACTTCAGCAAAGCTTCTGACAAAGCCCCCCCCCCCCGTCCCCCCGCAACATCCTGACCAGCATACTGGCTAAAAGTGGGCGAGATGGAACAACGATTGGGCCGATCCGCAGCTGGCTACAGAACCAGACCCAAAGCGGCTCATCTGTGGCAGCTTCTCAGACTGGGGAAATGGGTGGGTGAGCGAATACCCTGGAAGACGGAGGCAAGGAGTTCTTGATAGGCTGGGAGTTCTGGGCTGAAAACAACAGAATGAAATTCAGTAGAACAAATGCTAAGCCCTACACCTAGCTAAAGAAACCAAACCCATTGCTACAAGATGGGGAATGCTCGGCTCAATATGAGCCAGCAAGGGGATTTTATTTATTTATTTATTAAAACATTTCTATGCCGCCCCTTGCCGAAGCCTCAGGGCGGCTTACAACACAATAAAATACAAAAATAACAATATAAAATTAACAATATAAAATAAATTACAATATAAAAGAAGTCGCCCTGGCCAGATAAATAAGCAAATATTGTTACAAAAGGGGCAACTGCTATTTAGGGCTGCCTTAACAGAAGCTGCACTTCCAAATCCCATGAAGTGTGACTTGTCCTTTACTTGGCACTGGTTGGGCCTCAATGGGAGCCCCGCCTGCAGTTCTGGGCATCACGGTTGAAGAAGGATGCAGAGAAGCTGGAAAGGGTGCAGAGGAGGGCAACGAGGATGGCCCGGGGCCTGGAAAGGAAGGCCTGTGAGGGGAAGTGGAAGGAACTGGGCATGCTCAGCCTGGAGAATAGAAGACAATGGAGATAGGATACACTCTTCAAATACTTGCAAGGCCGTTGCAAAGGGGGAGGCTGGGATCTCGGCTCAATCCTCCCAGAGTGCAGGACAGGGAATAACAGGCTCAAGTTGCAGGAAGCCACATTCCAGCTAGATATCGGGAAGAACTTCCTGGCTGTCAGAGCACCACAAGGGAACCTGGAGATAAAAGTCCCCAGATGAAGGGAGCTGCTGTGGGTGGCCTCCAAGACCCCTGCCAGGTCAGGTCAGCCGAGGGGAAGGGGGGCTCACCCAGGGAGGCTGAGATCCGGCAGTTCTCCCGCATGACTTCCCTGTGCAGAGCCCTCTGGGCCGGATCCAGCAGCGCCGCCGCCTCCTCCGTGAAGCGCACAGCCACCTCCTCAAAGGAGACCTGGGCCTGCAAGAGGGCAAGCAGAAGGATTGCTCGGAGCAGATCGGGGCGAAGGGGTGGGGGGAGGCGGGGTTCCACTGCAGAGCCAGGTCCGGGGGGCGGTCAGAACCTTTGGGGCAGCCCCAGAGAGGGACCATCCCTCCAGGCTCTGCCGACTGCGTAGGACTGAGGCACTGGGGACCCCCACCTTTTCTGGCTGCCCAGCAGCTCCATCTCCGCCATCATGAAGAGAGAACAGTGTCATCCTTGCCTAAGAGGAAGACGAGGAAAGACAGCGCAAAGATACTTTATACTCCCCAAACATTTGGATTCTGCCTCAAGTGAGGTTAATCCCTCCCCCGCCCCTCTGTTTCTTGCCACAATTGCTTTGACAAAAAGACTTAATTTATTAACGCAAATCCCCCTTTCCCCATGTGAGGGAGCCACCTCTCCGCCCCCGGGGGAATCTCAAAGGCTGCCTGGAAGTCAGAGGGAGGTGTCCGCGGGGGGCCATCCTCAAGGAGGAGGCAAGTCCTGAAATCCATCCCCTCGTCTATTTTACATTATTATTCATGTTTTCCATGCCAGCTAATAGCCACAGCTCTCTGAGTGGTGAGCGGCAGTTAAGGAATGCAATAAAATACAATATAAAACAAAAGAAGAATAAAATGCCTTCTCCCCTAACCCCGAGAGGAGGCACCAGCGCCCCGTGCAGAGCGCCCCGGCCGCAGTGTGGGCGCCCCTCGTGCCCAGCAGCCCCGGCACCTCTTGGCCGGCACCCGTGGCGCGAGAGGAGGGGTGACACGGAGCAGCAGGGCCGGGCCGGTCCGCCCGGCCAAGGGCCGCCACTGCCACCCCTCGGTCCGGCCCGGACTCCGCCCCGCGGCGCCCGCATCGGCCCCCTGGCCAAGTGGGGGCGCCCGGGCGGAGCGAGCAGCCGCAGCTGGTGATGGAGCGGGGACGCACCTGCCCCCGGGGGCTCCCCAGGCTCCCTCTGCGGGAGGGCGGCCCCCCGGTCTCGTCCGCCCTCGCAGCAACCGCCCCACGAAGCCCCCGGGATGGCAGCATCCAGGCGTGGATCCGCCCGGGAGCGCGGCGGGCGCGCCTTCCTCGGCGCCGGGGCGATGCACGCCACCCGCTGCCTCTCGGCCGGGGCCAGCCCGGCGCGCAGCCCCGGCCCGGACCCCATCCCCGCGACAGCCCGCCCCCCATGGCGGGCAGTAGAGGACGCGGGGGGCGCTGCTCCCCGCTCACCTGCGCGCCGGGACGAGGCGCCGAGCGCGTGAAGGTCCCGGGACCCTTTCCGCGGATGCGGGAGGGGCAGGAGGCGAGGGGAGGAGCGGTCGCTCTAGGCATCGCGCTCGCTCTCCCGAGCCCCCCCTCCCCGCGCGCCCCCGGGACGGCGAGGCTGATCCACGCGCCCCTCGCCGCGCCAGGGCAACGCGGGCGGGCTGGAGCCGGGCGCGGAGGGGAGCGCGGTGCCGCGGCTTTCCGGGTCAGGTGCGCCCCGCGCGAGCGGCTGCCGGGGGCCGTGCGGACTGCAAGCTCCATCAGCCCCAGTCCCCAAGACCCGAGCGCCCCACCTGCCTTCCCAGGGGAACTGAGTCGCCAGGACCAGCCACGGAGGCGTCCCAGGTGAAGATCTGGAGCCTCCCCCCACACCCTTCGTTTAAAACCCCCCAGCACGCGCAGCCCAGCCCCCCCCCCCCAAAAAAGAGCAGCAACCTGGCCCTTCCTGGGGCTCTTTTTGGACAGGCATCCCGCCAAAACAGCACCGAAGAGCCAGCCTCTGCCTGGCAACTGGGGGAGAACTGGGGACTATCTTGGCCTCCCTTCCCCACTACCCTTCCCCCAGTGGGCTTCACAGTAGCACCTCCAACGTAAAGGGAGGGAATTGGCCTTCTGCTTGGCTTGAGGAAGACAGTAAGGTGGGGTAGGGGAGGGCCACGTTATCCCCCTCCGCCAGGCATGTCACAAGGGGGGAAAGGGTTCTTCCCCCTCCTGTGGCCCGTCTGGCCCACTTGCACGGGAAAGTTCTCTGCCAGGCACTGGGAGGCTGGCGTCAAAGAGCACAGCTCAAGTGAAGCTCCGGGGCATTCTGGCACCCCTGAAAAGGCCAGGCGGGGTGGGGGGCAAACCCTGCGCCCCAGAAATGCTGAGCTGCCAGCCAGCTTGGGCTGGTCCCGGCCTGGGGAAATTGCACCCCACAAATTCACCCAGATCACATCATCCCATGGAAAAGTTCTAGCAAAAGCGAAGGGCCTGTGGAGCAACAGCAGGAAATGCCCACGGGGTTCCGGAAGCAAACAAAGCAACTGTTGTGCATTTGTAACACACATGCACTGGTTCATCTGCCACAACACCATCGAGGTGATGCACAACACGTTGCCGTGTAAGAATATTAGAAGAGCCAAGCCGGAGCAGTAATGACAGTAATTACTAGAAGCCACTGCCGGACTAATCAGCTTCCTTTTATTGCTCAAGTAACCTCCCTGGTGGACTTTGGGAATGCTGTGAACATCATCCATCTTGGCGTGAGTAAAACTTTTGACAAAGTGCCCCACCATCTCCTGATTAGCAAACTAGCAAAAACTAGGCTAGATGGAACAACTGTCAGGCTGATCCACAGCTGGCCATCTAGTCTGACCCCTGGCTCCAGCCGGCTCCGCTCGACATGCCTTCCATTTATGTGGCAATGAATGAATGAATGAATGAATGAATGGTATGTGGAGAGTAGAAATAAATGGCCATTTATTTATTTTTCGATTTATATCCTGCCTTTTTCCTCAAAGGGCTCAAGGAAGCTTACATCATTCTCCTCCTCCATCTTATCCCCACAACAACAACCCTGTGAGGTAGGTTGGGCTGAGAGTCTGTGACTGGCCCAAAGTCACCCTGTTGGCTCCATGGCTGAGTGGGGACTGGAACCCAGATCGCCTGAGTCCCAGTCCCAGGCTCTTAACCACTGCGCCACACTGGCTCTCTGTTTTCCCTTGGTACAGAGCCTGATCTTAGGGACATATTCCATATTTGGATAAGAAGGTGAGCAATTTCATAGAATCATGGAATCATGGAATAGCAGAGTTGGAAGGGACCAACCCCTGCTGTTGCAGGACACCCAGTCACATCATCCCACTCAGAGGGCTGCCCAGTTTCTTCTTGAATGGCTCCAGTGTGGGAGAGCCTCCACCTCTCCAGGCAGCTGGTCCCACTGCCATGTTGTTCTGACCGTGAGGAAGCTTGTCCTGAAGTTCAGCCTGAATCTGGGTTGCCGCAATTTGAACGGATTCTTCCGTGTCCTGCGCTCTGGGATCAGCAAGAAGAGACCTTGGCCTCCTTCTCTGTAACAGCCTTCGGGGTACTCATAGAGGGATCTCATGTCCCCCTCAGCCTTCGTATTGGAGCTCTTTAAGAACCCCAGGACTGGGCCTGGTTCACTTTCAATTTGCCAATAATTTCTCTCTGGGCATCCTGCCTGCCTTCGTTCCTCAGACACCCTTCCCAAGTGCATTGGTCCAAGATGCGGGATCTGTCCTGAGTGCTCAGCTGTGAAGACAGAAGAAAAAAAAAATCATAGAATTGCAGCATAGTAGAACTGGAGGGGGCCCGAATGCCATCCAGTCCAGCCCCTGCTGTTGCAGGACACCAGTTCACACGATCCCCTCCAGGTGCCTGTCCAGACGCTTTCTGGAGGACTCCAGTGAGGGAGAGGCCACCACCTCCCCAGGTAATCGGCTCCACTGCCGCACTGCCTCAGCAGCCAGGAAATTCTTCCCGGGGTCAAGTCTCAGTCTGGTTTCTTTTAACTTAACCCCCTTATTCCATGCCCTGCACTCTGGAATGACCAAGGAGAGGTCTTGTCCTTCCTCTTTGTGACACCCCTTCCGGTCCTCGATCAGTCTTCTTTTCCCGAGGCTTAACTTGCCTGGTTCTCCCAGTCTTCTCTCATGAGGCTTTGCCTGCCGTCCCCAGATCATCCTCATTGCCCTCCGCGGGACCCTTTCCAGCTTTTCTGCATCTTTCTAAAACTTGGGTGCCCAGAAGTGGACACAGGGCTCCAGGTGAAGTCTGACTAGTGAGGACTATAGAAGAACTACGACTTCTCATGGAAGGAATACTTCCATCAATCTCACCTGAAATCACATTTCCCCTTTCTGCAACCGCATCACATTGTTGGCTCATATCTAGTGTGTGTTCTATAACAACCCGACATCCTTCCCTTCTGCGGTATCGTCGAGCCAAGTGTTGCCCGCCTCGTTGCGGTGCATTTGGCTTCTTATTCCTCGGTGCAGAACAAGGTATTTCTCCAAACTGAATTTCATTCTGCTGCTCTCTGCCCAGCGTCCTGACCTATTAGGATCACCCTGGATCTTCGTTCCATCTCCCAGGGCATTTGCTATCCCCCCCCCCATCTTTGTGTCATCTGCTGATTGAATTTGCTTTCCTTGCACTTCCCAATCTAAATTATTATTATTATTATTATTATTATTATTATTATTATTATTATTATTATTATTATTAGAACATTTCTATGCCGCCCCTTGCTGAAGCCTTGGGGCAGCTTACAACACAATAATTAATAAATAATTAAGAAAATGTTGAAGAGTGCTGGGCCCAGGGCAGAAACCCTGCGGCAGCCCCTTGTCACCTCTCCCTGCTCTGAGAAGGTGCCCTGATGAGCACTCCCTGGGTCCGATCCTGCAGCCAGGGGTGGATCCGCCTCATGGCTGCGCTATCCAGCTTCTCGCTCGTTTGGAAATCAGGAATTGTGAGGCACTGTGTCGAAGCCTTTGCTAAAGTCTGGATAGATTTTGCCCACGGCATGGCAACTGCCCATTTTGGAGGTTACTCAGTCAGAAACTGAAATTAGATTCGTCTGGCAAGATTGGGTCCTGCAAAAGCTATGCTGGCTTCTAGTACTTGCTGCATTGTCTTCAAAGTGTGTGCAGACTGTTTTGTAATTGTCTTGTTTTATAATTGGTTCACCTTCTCTGCAGTCCCCCTTTCCCCTTTAAATCCTGTGGTCCAACTGCCTCTCCAGCTATGTTGCCTCTGGTATCTTAACAACGTTCTGTATTGTTGGCCAGATGCGCCCAAGAATGTGTCTTCGTATCTCTTGTTTGTTTGTTTGACGCTTTTATAGACCGTCCTATTACTAGCATCTTGAGACAGTTTATAAACCCACCTCATCCTTTGCTTGCACCCTTTCCCAGCTTGTGCTCCCCCCACCCCCCATTCAATGAAGGCCTCCTCCTCCTCCCAAACAGCTCCCTCGATGAAACCCACTGACTGAGCGTATGACCCCACGGATGCCGTGTGCCCTCCCCTAACTCGTGGCAGACACACCGCCCGAGTTTCTGTTATTGTGGCTTCACATAATCACTATGCATTTCGAAAGGATTTGAGCCTCCCGGTCCCCCTTTCGACTTCCTTTTCCCCAGTTCCCTTATTTTAGAAAAGTTTCCTGTTTTGAAGTCGGTTGTCTTCATAATGAAACTTTGCAAGATCAAAAACAGGAATGTTGAAAACAGCGAAAACATAAGGAGGGTTTTCAAGGATGTTGCTGTCATGTTTTGACGATGGGGGGTTATTGGACAACCCCACGCATAGAAACATAGAAACAGAGAGAGTCAGAAGGGGTCTCCCGGGCCATCTAGTCTGACCCTGGCTCCAGCCAGCTCTGCTCATAGAAACAGACCGAGTCAGAAGGGGCCTCCGGGCCATCTAGTCTGACCCCCGGCTCCAACTGGCTTTGCTCATAGAAACATAGAAACAGAGCGAGGCAGAAAGGGTCTCCCAGGCCATCTAGTCTGACCCCTGGCTCCAGCCAGCTCTGCTCACAGAAACAGAGTGAGGCAGAAGGGGTCTCCCGGGCCATCTAGTCTGCCTCCGGCTCCAGCTGGCTCTGCTCATAGAAACCGCGCGAGGCAGAAGGGGTTTCCCGGGCCGTCTAGTCTGACCCCAGCTCCAGCCGGCTCCGCTCACATGCCCACCATGTGCATGTCCTGCCTATCCTTGAGCACCCACACCGATGGGGCCTCAACGGCCTCTTGCGGAAGCCCATTCCACACCCTCGGGGTCCTGACTGGCAGGAAGGGCTTGCATGTGCCTAGTCTTGAGGTGTTTGGGGCTCACGTGATCACTGGGAGCTAACACTGGCAGGTGAGTAGGTGGGAGCCTCAGGTGGGAGCTCCAGCTGACCTCTGTCTCCCGGACCTGGCCAAGCCAGGGAAGTTGCTGCCAGCTTTGGGGTGCTGGTTCAGCTGGCCATGGTGTGAATTTTCTGCTGGTTATTAAGAAGCGGTTGGTGAGGTGGATCCCCACGATCTCCTGGGAGTGAATTCTTGCAGAAGAAGGCTGTACTCACAAGATTCCTCCTGCTGGGTGTTTTTCACAGGTTTTCTTCAAAGAAAGTGCTTTCCACACTGAGTTTTTATGTTTTTTCTCTTGTCAGAGGTCTTTTATGTTAGTGGAGCCTGGAGCTCCTAACCCAGCGATGGCAAACCTTTTAGAGATCGGGTGCCCAAACTGCAACCCAAAGCCCACTTATTTATCGCAAAGGGCCAACACTGCAATAAAACCTGAATACTGAGGTTTTCGTTTAGAAAAACAACATTTATTTATTTTATTTTTTTATTTAGAATTTTTGTATGCCATCGCATTGCATCGCCTCGGGATGGCTTACATAAAACAAACAAACATAATACAGATAGTACAAATAAAATCCAGAATCACCCTGGATAGCAGTTGCCCTTTTGCAGTTGACTCGGACTCAGCTTGTGATCCGCAACAATCCAAGACCCTTAGCGCTTGGTGACGGCAGGCCAGGTTCCAGTGAGAAACCAGGAAAAACCAAGCAGGACTACAAGAGCCCCAGGGAGGTGGGGGGCTCTCCCACACTGGGCACATTCAAGGCGAAACTGGACCACCGTCTGAGCAGGACGGTGCAAACCGGTCTCCTGCTACAGGAAGGAGCGGGGTTGAGCCCGACGGCCTTCCTGGCCCCTTCCAACTCTGCTATTCCGTGATCCTACGAAAGAGCTGGATCGCAAGCTGGTTTTCTGCTTTCCTTGGAGCGCAAAAGATCCTATCATTTTGGGGAACCGGAAGACCTTTTGCAGACGAAAGAGAGGAATCACTTCAGGAACTGGTCCCACCAAGGTAAAGGGAAGAGGGGCTGGTCTACGTGGGGCTGCCTTGGCACTCGGACCCTCCAGCCCCCCTCCTTCCAGCCTCCCCCCCCCGGGCGGTGTGGAGAGCTTTTCCCGTGCAGACCGGGTTGCCTCAGCTTCCATAAACAGTCCCGATTCCATCCTGAAGGCAGCGCGGGGGGGGGGGGGTCACATCCGGCCAAGGAAGGAGAAAAGATAGGGGGGCAGAGTGTCCCCCCCAATCGGATTGACTGAAGAGGATCAGCCCCCCCCCCCGCAGCGGCTCCTCCCTCTCCGAAGCCCCTCTCCCCTCGACTCCTCCTCCCTCCCCAGCCCCGCACGAATCCTGCCCAGGATCCTGGTGCTGCGCCCCCCTGCCCGGCCTGGCAGAGGGGCGTGGCTGAGCCCCGGAGGGATCTCTCGTAGGCCCCGCCCCCAGCCCCGCTTCCCTGGCACCCTCTTGCGAGCGAAATGAATGCGGAGGGGGCTGCGACGCCGTGGGAAGAGCCCTTCGGGGGGGCGGCGACGGGAAGGAGGGGGGAGGGGGAGGGGCGGGTCCCTCCTCTCGAGGCCCCCGTGCGAATCCGCGCCCTCTCTCCCCAGGGACCGTCCCAGGGATCGCGAAGATGCGCCGCGTGCTTCGTGCAGGATCGGGTGCAGGCGAGGAGAACAGGGTGGGACAGAGACGGCTTTCCTCGCATCTTTCGCGTGTTTGTCTGGGGCGTGGGGGTGCTTCAAGGACTCTTGGCCCGTAACTCCCATCAGCCCGGCCCTCATGGCCACGGATGATGGGCGCTGTAGTCCCGAAGACCTTGGAGTTGCCTTCTCCTGCCTTCCAGCTAACCTTCCCTCCGAGGAGGCCACCGCGAGCAGAGCCTGCCGCCCGTTTCCACTCGGGAAAGCAGCGGAGGGGGGAGACTGAGGGCGGGGAGGGGGCCGCCCTCCCTCCCGCCATCGGCGGCTCTCGCCTTCCCGGGGTCCCCGAGCGGCGCTGGGCCAGGTCTACTTGCGTGCAGGAGCGCACTGGCGGTTCTCTCCCCCTGCGGTCCCGGTTCAGCCGGGCTGGGAGGCACTGGAGACCCGGCGCGACCAGCTGCACGCCCCGATCCCCCGGCCACGTTCGGGCCTTCGGTGCACGGGCAGCGCCCTCGCTCAGAGCTGGGCCAAGCCGCCCTCCCCGCACACCCCCGGCCCAACAGGGCTCTGCGCCCCTCCGAGCCGCACTACCGAGGCCTCCCGCGCCTGCTGGAAGACGCCAATGTCTGCATGGCCCTTTGTAGACTGGGCACACGTCCTAGGAGGACCTTCCCTGGAGGGGAGCCCCACGAGCATCGGGGCCTGGCCTCTCTCCTGCACGGCCCACGAGCTGGGCGCTTCCTTGGTTCCTCCAATGGCGCCACAAGCCAAACTGCTGAGTGGCTTCCCCAGGGTGCCATCTGGACGGCGACCAGCTGGGGAGGGCAGGCAGAACAAAACTACCCCCCCCCACTATGGGTTACTGGGGTGGCCCTGATGTGGCCCGGTCTTGCCATCTGGAATGCCTTGCCCAGGAAGGACTGTGACCACCATGACCACCACGGTGTCTCCTGGGCCCATCCCTGGAGGGTTTTAGAGTGCGGGACTCCCATTCCCAGGAGAACTCCCTGGCCTGTGCCCCCTGCATCACCCAGGAAGCCGCCTCCACCCCACACTTGAGATCCGGGGGGGGGGCGGGGGAGAACTGGTTTTGCGTGGCCATCCAGTGCTCTCTGGCCCACGTACAGGTTAGGTGTCCCCCCCAGGGCTGGGGCCTGGGCCTGACCCTGCACAGGCTCTGCTGGTGAAGGGGGGAAATTACTCCTGGCAAAGCCGCTCCAAAGCAGGGGGTGACCAGCACTCAGCAGGCTGGGCTCTGGGGGACAGGAGCGGGTTTGGGAATATGGGGTGTGAAATCTAGTTCACCGGCAGTGGGGAACAAGCCACCTGCCCCCAGCCTTCCCACGGATGCTCCACTTTCCCACCATCCTAAGCAACTCGTCTCAGGGCAAAGAGGAGAATGCGGGGCACTGAGAGAACCCATGAGGCACCAGAGATCCAGACTCTGCGGTATTCTGTGCCGGGACAAACCAACCGGCATCCTGTCATTTAATAACAAGATTCTGCCACAAAGCCGAAGGACCTGTGAGAACAAAACGAAGTCTCCACACGAAGCCGAGCAACCAACTTTTTACTTCAGCTCTTATTAACATGTTTGCCCTACAAAGCTGTCAAGTGGGTGCACAACTATTTAAAAACATCAAAACCTTGCAATGATAGAAACAAACGTTAAAAACCGCGAAGGTATGAAGATGTGTTCAGGAAACGGCTGTAAGGCTTGAATGCGGAGGAGCCCTGTTGGCTGGATCTGGCAGCTGCACTTCTGGATCCGGCCCAGGAGCACTGTGGGCCGGCAGTGAGTGGGAGGCCGTGCTGACGGGGGAGCAGGTGGAAGCCTCGTCATAGGACTACGCAGGTGGGAGCCCCAGCTGAGCGAGGCTTTCGTCCCTGCCACACTAACGGCAGTTTCTCCCTCATTTTCAGCACAGATATGGATGGTCCTTCCCTGATGACTTTTAAGATCTGGTCAAGTGGACTCCAACTGTTTTCTGAGGGTGATTTTTCCAATGAAGAGCTTCTCTCCATGTGAGGTTCTCTCCAAAGGCCAGTAACTGCCAGGAGTTAAGATTCCTCCTTCTAGGCCCTTGTTCATGCCGTTCCATGAATCTGCGCTTCCTACACAGAGAATGTCTAGATCTTCTGCCTTGTGTTAATTCCATCATATTTAAAGCTACGGCTGTGAATGTGACTTTCAGCACTGTGCGTATATTAAGGGCCGCTCGCCCGTGTGGATTCTCTGATGGGCATAAAGTTGGGAGCTCCAAATGAAGCTCTTTCCACATTCTGAGCATTTAAAGGGCTTCTTCCCAGAGTGCAAACTTTGATGCTGTTTGAGGTAGGAGCTGTGCTTGAAGCTCTTTCCGCATTCTGGGCATCGATAGGGCTTCTCCCCAGAGTGGACCCTTTGATGCACCCTAAGATTGGAGCTGTCAGTGAAGCTCTTTCCACACTCGGAGCATTTATGAGGCTTCTCCCCCGTGTGAATTCTCTGATGAAGTTTAAGGTTTTGGCCATGCAGGAAACATTTCCCACATTCGGCGCACTTGAACATACTCTCCATCGTGTGAATCTGTTGATGAAATTTGAGGCTCTGGACATGAATGAAGCTCTTTCCACACTCTGAGCACTGAAAGGGCATCTCACCAGTGTGTATTCTCTGATGTGAGTGAAGGCCAGAGAGCTGACTGAAGCTCTTTCCGCATTCTAAGCACTGAAAAGGTTTCTCTCCTGTGTGGATTCTTTGGTGTTTTTTAAGGTTGGAGCTCTGACTGAAGCTCTTCCCACACTCAGAGCACTTAAACGGTCCGTCCCCTGTGTGAATGATCTGATGCGAGTTTAGGGCTGAGTGCCGACTGAAGCTCTTTCCACAGACTGAGCATTTATATGGCTTCTTGCCAGAATGCAGTCTTTGATGTTGCTTAAGATGGGAACTCTGGTTGAAGCTCTTCCCACACTCTGAGCATTGGAAGGGCTTCTCCCCTGTATGAATTCTCTGATGCTTTTTCAGGGTCATGCTCACGCTGAAACACTTCCCACATTCTGAGCATATGAAGGGCCGCTCGCCTGTGTGGATTCTCTGATGAGCATTAAGTTGCGAGCTCCAAATGAAGCGCTTTCCACATTCTGTGCATTCGAAGGGCTTCTTGCCAGAGTGCAGGCTCTGATGTTGCTTGAGGTAGGACCTGTGCCTGAAGCTCTTTCCACATTCTGGGCACTGAAAGTGCCTCTCCCCGGTGTGCATTATTTGGTGGGTACTCAGCTGTGAGCTCCAGCGGAAGCTCTTCTCACATTCTGAACATTTATACGGCTTCTCCCCTGTGTGAATTATCTGATGCAATTTAAGGCTTTTGCCATCAGTGAAATTCATTCCACATTCGGAGCATATATAGGGCTTCTCCCCTAAGTGTGATCTCTGATGTCGTTTAAGGTTGGAATTGCAACTGAATCTCTTTCCACATTCAGCGCACTGGAAGAGTATCTTTCCTCTGTGAATTGCGTTAAGGTAGGTGTTCTGGCTGAAGCTCTTTCCGCAATCTGAGCATTGATAGGACTTCTCCCCTGAGCGTGTTTTTTCATGTTGTTTAAGAACAGACCTGTGTCTGAAGCTCTTTCCACATTCTAAGTATTCATATGGCTCCTCCTGCCCTGTATGAGCTCCACCGTGCAAGTTAAAGCCCGCACTGAAACTAAATTGCTTGTTGCAGCTAAAGCACTTATATGCATCTGCTTCTGTGTGGATTCTCTGATGTTCAGTAAGGTATATTTGCTGTCTTCCTTCTAGAGGTACTCCTGGAATTGCAATTTCATGGAAGTCTCCCCCTTCAAAGAAAATAGAGTTGTTCCACCATGGTGCTTCTTTTCCAATGCTCCTTTTCTGTTGGTGCCCATTTTTGTTGATTCCTTTCCCATCACCTGAAAGAATGAAGAGAGATGCTTTTCTCAGTCCAGGGGACAAACCCACCAGCTTCCTGTTTTGATTGTGGGAGGAGAAAATGCTTCTCAGGCAAATCCTTCCAAATGTATTGAAGGGCCTCTCATGGCAAACGGACGTGATACTGGTGCACAAAGCTCTTATCCAGCTCCCACGTCTTAGTATTATAACAAAATTGACGGGCTCCCCCTGCAGTGTGTCCTGCAAAGGGCAGCTCATGGCAGCTGGTATAAACTACAATAAAGTCAAAATACACAAAAAAGCACATACTAGAATAAACATTTGAAAACACAGGCCAGGGAGAAAGAGAAAAAGAGAAGCAGAGCGAGTCAGAAGGGGCCTCCCAGGCCATCTAGTCTGACCCCGGCTCCAGCCGGCTCTGCTCATAGAAACAGAGGAACAGAGCGAGTCAGAAGGGGTCTCCTGGGTCATCTAGTCTGACCCCGGCTCAAGCCAGCTCTGCTCATAGAAACAGAGGAAGAGAGAGAGTCAGAAGGGGTCTCCTGGGCCATCTAGTCTGACCCCGGCTCAAGCTGGCTCTGCTCATGACATGCCCACCATGTGCACGTCCAGCCTATCCTTGAACACCCGCACCGATGGGGCCTCAGCGACCTCCCGGGAAAGCCCACTCCACGCCCTTGGGGTTCTGACTCTCAGGAAGTGCTCCCTGGCATCCACATTGAGCCTGGGTTCCCTGCCCTTTGTTCCACTGGAACATGCCATGGATGCTCCCAGGGCCACCGCTCCACCAGGCCCCCACCCTCCACAAGCACAACAGGCAGCAGAGCAGGAGCACCACTGAATGGCTCTCACCAGCAGGGTCTTCCTCCGCCCTCCATGCTGCTGCACAGGGTATTGGCTGCAATGGGAAAGTGGCCACCAGGGCCCCTGGGAGACACTGACAGCCGCCCTCCAGGCACACCGCCCAGCCCAACGCTTCATGAGACCCAGCTCAAATCCCATCCCCTTGGCTCCAGCTGTGCCTCGTGGATTTCCAGCCAAGCCTCCCGAGACCCTGGGCCACCTCCCTGCAGCTGGGGAGGAGTCCCTCAGCGGGCAACCGGGCAGCCACCTCTTCCCTTGAGTAGCCATATTGGTTGGGCCAGGAAACACAGAAACATACAAACAGAGCGAGGCAGAAGGGGCCTCCCGGGCCATCGAGGACTCTGTACCAATCCTGGTGGCACCACAAGCTCTGACAGAATCCAAAGAACCAGCATGGCTGCATGTCACAATCCTCTTAGAAAGTCCTGCTGGACTATTGATTAGTGGAATATACATCTGATAATACATACATACCTAGTCTATAAAAGTCCCCTCCCCCTTTGCCAGGGTTAAAAAATTGAGCTCCAAAGTTCCTTCTCCTCTAAGGCCAGAGTGGCTCCAGACAAGATCCACTGCATGAATACCAAAAACCTGCAAGACCATCAGCTGGGAGAATCCACTGCCAGACCCAGGACCAGATCCAGTTTGTTGCTGGATCCGCATGGAGGTGCTAAACCTGGCAGGGCCTCACCGGAACTCAGAAAAAGCTTCCACTCTGGAGGATCCCTCCCATTCCAGGTGGATAAAGCAGGGCCACCTGGGAGCAAGGGTGGTGGCATGGCTAGACGGTGTGGGACCTGGACTGGGGGGATCTGGGTTCAAGTGCTCCTCAGCCATGAAGCTTGCCAGGGGACTCTGGGCCCAGTCTCTCAGCCCGATCTCACTGCAAAGTTTGGAAGATAACCTGGAGAGAAGGGGCATTGGTATAATGCAGAGGTTGGGCCCATTTCTTTCAAAATTCAGCCCAGAACGATAGAAAGTTCAGACTCTCAATGTGAGCTGGATGAAGAAAAGGAGGGACCGGAAGGGATGCTGGAAAGGTCAGGCTGATGAACAAGCAGATACCAGAACCTGGAGGGTCTGAGGGGGAGGGAGGTGGTCTCATTGAGCCAGGGGCCTGTCCTCAAGTAACACCCAACTTTCCCACCACCTGGACCTCGAGTACTGCAAACTTCCCTGAAGGTGGAGCCAGCTCTTTTGGGGAAGGGAGGGAGGAGGAAGTCATCGGGTTGAAATCAGCTTTGAACATGGACCAGAGCTACACCCATAAACGAGAGACCGTTATCTGATTGACGGCACTTGTTAACGGCCTTGATATTAATCACTCTGTTTTGCACAAATGAGCCTGGGTCAAATAAGAGGCCTTCCACTTTAGAGGCCTTCCACTGGGACAAGAGAAGAGGGGAGAGATAAGCTCTCAGCACATAACATTAAAAAATGAGGAAACGGTGCTCAACGGATGCTTCTCCCACATTTTTGAACCTGAAGCCCCTTCCCCAGATGATGGAGCCCCTCCCAATATTCCTTGCCTGTTTTGCTGACAGCTCCCTCATGAGTCAAGATTTACCCAGGAGTAATGTCTGTGAGAATAGCCAGCCTAGGAAGCCAATGGATACGGGCCAGCCAGAATGAAGCACCCACCTGCTTGCTCTGCCCCGTCCTTGCAGCCCGGGGCAGGCGGGTCCCCTTCCTCCTGCCAGAAGATGAGGTCAGGTCCAGGAACTGGGAGCCCTTGGGCAGAGGTCAGAGAGAGGAGGGTTACCGCGGGCGTGTCAGATGGCGGCCTCTCTTCTGGGGGCTCCCGCCACTCTCCCATTCTCACCAGCCCCCCGAGGTCAATAAAGGCCGGGCTCGTTACTCCTCTGCAAAGCAAGCAACTGGCAGGGTGCCACCTGGGCTGAGGTGCCTCTGCCTGTCCCCAGACGCCTTTGGCTGCTGCTAGGTTTCCGCTGCGATCACGCTACGCGGGCAGGCCCAGAGAAGACACCGGTGGCCTGTCATGGCCACGCCAGAGGGCGAAAGGCACCACCGGCATTGCGCGAGATGCTCCGCAACAGAACCACTCCCCTTCGGCAAGGGCCACATAGTTCAGGAGCAGGAGGAACCGGAGACAAGCACCGGGGCAGCGCCTCAGAGCTGCTGAGCATGCTGAGGGGAGGGCGAAGGCGAATCCAGCTGGCCCCACACTGGAACAGGAGAGGGGTGGAGGGAGGGCCTGCTCTGCAGCCCGGCCTCCATGCTTCCAACCCCACAGGTCCCTGCTCCAGTGAAGGCAAAATCCAACAGAACCTACCAAGGGACCCCTGTCCAGAAAGCATTTCAGAAATGCACGAGGAGGAGAAAACAGCAGCTTTGGAAACAATTCCGGGTATAGTGGGATTAATCCAGAAGTGGCTGGGAGGACTGCCTCCATCGAGGCTGCCCTGTTGTACCGTGCGGCCCACAGAAGGTGCTTTCCTGGGACAGAGGCCCTCTTCCTTCCTCCCTGGTTCTGCCATGCCTCGCCGGACCGTGACCTGCCTGTCTGCATGGCACCCAGCCTCAGCCTCATGGAGACCTGCCCTGCCTCCGCCCCCCAGCATCCTTCCCGGCACCCTGGTCCGGTGTTCCAGGCCCAGCCAGCTGCTGCCCACACCCAGAAGCAGACACCCTGCCCATTCCCAGTCATTCATCCGAGTTTTTGCCAGGTACCACTGCAGGCTGCTGCTCCTGGCACTGGTGGAGGTGGGGGAGGGGGCTTCCTGCCGCCCCAGAGACACTCTGGGACCAAGGAGCACCCAGGAAAGGGACTGCTCCCTGAGCGGCTGCCAAGACCAACCTGAGCCATCAAGCAGCCTGGAGGGGAGGCAGCTGCGGGGAGGCCCAGCCGCACCCTCCCATCATGCAAGAGGCACAGCAGGGGGGTCTCTGATGCTCCCCAGGCAGCAAGGAGGCAGTAGGGAAGCCGGCCCAGGCCAGACGCAAGGAGCAAGGCCCAGTGGGGACGTGGGAAGAGAATCCCATGGGATTCCAGCAAAGGGTGGGAGGCCACCTGTCCAGGACGCTGAAGCTGCATCCAGCACAACAGGGTGGACTAGAAGGCCTCCGGGGCCCTTCCAGCATCATGACGGGTCAGCCGAGGGGAAGGGGGGCTCACCCAGGGAGGCCAAGGTCCGGCAGTTCTCCCACATGACTTCCCTGTGCAGAGCCCTCTGGGCCGGATCCAGCAGCGCCGCCTCCTCCTCTGTGAAGCGCACAGCCACCTCCTCAAAGGAGACCTGGGCCTGCAAGAGGGCAAGCAGAAGGATTGCTCGGAGCGGATGGGGGCGTAGGGGTGGGGGGAGGCGGGGGACCCATAGATCTGGGTCCAGGGGGCAGTCAGAGCCTTTGGGGAAGCCCTGGACGACCCCTCCAGGCTCCGCAGGATGTGTAGAGCTGGGGCACCGGGGGAGGGGGGGAAGGGGCGCACCTGTTCTGGCTGCCCTGCAGCTCCGCCTGCTCCACCGTGAGGAGCTCCATGCGCCCTCCCAGGGTCTTGGAGCATCGTGCCGGTTCCTGAGAGGGAGGCGGAAAGGCACTTTATATTTCTGAAACACGTTGCCCTGAGCTGCCGGGGTGCAGCCGCCCTCTTGCTGCATGGCTTTTGGCCGCAGTACGCAAGGATTACCATGGTGGGCTCAATTGAGGAAGTGCCCGGCTTTTTCCTGCACTGGCTGGACCCTTCCCCTCACACACCCGGAGGAACAAGGGGAGCTTGCAGGCAGCCCCTGGAAAAGGCCGCCTTGAAAAAGGCCTGATTCATCCTGACCCCAGGAGGTACCGCCACTGTTCTGCTCCTTCTGGCAGGGGGCACCGGCCTCCCCCTGGCCAGACCCCCGAACCACTGGCCTGCTGCCTCCACCGACCGGCCCCCACCCCCATCCTGCGCGGTGCTGGGGTCACCCCGCGGATCGCTCCCTCCCAGCTCTGCCGCAGCCTGTGCGAGGAGTCCCAGCCCTGTTCCGGGGATAGGGAAGGGGTGACATCCTGCTGGAGCCGCAGGCTCCGCTGAGGGAGGGAGCAGGGCCAGGCGGCAGGGACAGTGGGGCAGACCCCCAAGTCTGACTGAAATACGAAGCGGATCGACCTGGATCGAACTTACGAGTGGACCGCCAGGCAGCGCCTCCCGAGCGCTGCTCCGGCCCCCAAGTCCTCTAAAGATCCCCTGCCCCAAACAGCTCCGCTCCATCTCCACCCACCCCGAACCCCCTCCCGGCCTCCTCCCCACCACCCGCCAGCCCTGCACGGATCCTGCCCGGGATCCTGGTGGTGGCCCTCCCGCCTGGCCTTGCAGAACCTGGAGGGGGGTCTCCACACAGCTCGCCTCCCCTCCCCGCCCGGGCCTCCCGTCCGTGCACCCACGTGCAAAGCAAACCAAGAGGGGATCGCGGAGGCCGTGGGAAAACCCCGGCGGCTTTCTCGGGGCGGAGTGGGGGGGGAACACACGGGGAGGAAGTGAAGGAGGAGGGGCGGGTTCTTCCTCTCGGGGCCTCTCTAGGAATCGTGCCTCTCTCTTCCTCCCTCTTACTCTCCTTCTCTCTCTCCCTCCAGGGACCTCCCGCAAGAGGGCCAGGATCCTCCACGTGCCTGTTGCAGAATCGGGGCCGGGCGACCAAGAGCGACCCCCGCTGCTTGGGAGGCTGAGAAGGAGGCGGGGCAGGTGGCGGGGGGGGGCGATGGGGAGAGGAGATGTTTCCGCCCCGAAGGAAATGCCTATTGCCCCGGTCTCGCGGGTCTCCGCGGGCAGCGGGTGCGCCTCGCAGGCCGGCCCCGGGGAGGGCTACCCACGTCCGGGAGAGCACGAGCGGAAGGCGCTTTCCGAGGCTCCCGAGTCAGCCCGGCGAAGTCGGCTCGGAGGAGGCGGAGCCGCCCGAGAGCGCGGGGCGGAGGCCAGCCTGCGCGGCCCAGATCCCGCGCCCACCTCCCGCCCTCCTTGCGCAGCCAGGCGCCTCCATCGGCCGCGCAAAGCCCGCGCCCGGCGCTCGAGGGCGCGCCAGGATTGCGCGGCAGAGCGGCTCCGCTTTGCAAACGCGGCGGCTGGAAACGCCGGGCGTGCGGTTCGCAGGTGCCCTCGATGAAGCGCTCTCCGAGTACCAGCCCTCTCGAAGCGAGAGGGTCGAGGTGGGAGCCGAGCCCCGGAAGGGGTCCCCCCGCATTGCGCGGCCGAGCCCGGGCGCCTCGGAGGCTTCTTCTTTCCGAGGGAGGGGAGAGCCCCCTGGCCCAGAGGTGGCCGAAGCCGCGCGGCGCTCGAGGGGGTGTGCGCGGCGCCCAGCGGGGACCCGGCCCCACGTGCCTCCCGCCGCCTCTCCGTCGTCAGGGCTCGCCAGCGCTGCTGCCTCCCCCGAAGTCCCCTGCAGGCGGCGGGAGACAGAAGTGCTGGGGGCGCCCCATCCTGGGGGAAGGCACAGCGAACAGGGCCCTCCCGGCACCCCGCGCAGCAGCCCCCTCGGCCAGTCAGACTCCCAGCCAAACCTACCTCACAGGGTTGCTGTGAGGGTAAGACAGGGAGGAGGGGGGAATTAAAGGGGAAGCCGTCCCGATTTCCCTTTATAAGTGGGGTATCAATGTAACAAATAAATGAGTAGCATAACTTCATGGCTGTGATGAATCCATGATGCTATTATGATAATGCTAGTTATTAACAATGATATAAATAATTACATTAATTCTTAAAAACATTCTTATAATACTGTTACAATAAGAATCAAAAATCAGCCCAGCCCAGAGACGAAGCCAAGGAGGAGACAGAATTTGAACTCCCAGTTGTGGGAGCCAAAGGCCCTCCCAGGCCCCCCAAAGGAGAGCAGGGAGACCCTCACTTCAGAAGCTGAACCCCAGAGCCCTCCTGCTCCCCCGCAAGACCAGGGTGGGGGCAGGAGGGGCGTCTTCCTGGGGCTCCCTCAGCGGGGATGTGCCCACCTCCGGCCTTGCGGGTGTAGTGCAATCCAGTCCATCTCAAAGGGGCCAATCCTAGGAAGACCATGGGTGGAAGCAGCCAGCGGGCCTGTCCCATTAGGGGGAGGGGACTGACCAGGTCACGTCCCCGGGCCAAAGAGAAGAGGGCGCCTCGCCTCGCCTCGCCTCGCCTCGCCTCGCCTCCAGTCCTCTGCCCCAATCTCCGAGCTGGAGGCCGTCACACCGCCGGAGTGCTGAGTCAGCTCCGGAGGGTGCCGAGAGTGGGGCTGCTGCGACTGGGCTTGCTCGGCGTGGCGCCTGCCAGGAGGCTCGGGAGATACCTCGGAAGCGCGGGAGATACTCTGAGTCGCCCGGAGCAGCCAGAGAGGACTGACTACAGTGGAGCTTACTCGCGAGTAGGCAGGGTTGCACCCGCGCTGCTAATGCCTGAAATGCTTCGAGGGGGGGACGGCAGCACGCTCTTTTCCTTTGTTTGAAGCAGGACCCCCATATCCGCGGGAATCGGGCCGAGCCCCCCGCGGATACCTGAAGCCTCGGATAGTTGCGAGCACCACTATGCGGGGTTGGGGCGCAGGACCCCGCAAAGGAGGAAACCCGCAGATGTCTCCTGAGTCTTCAGGCCCACAGGCAGGCAAAAGACGAAGCAGGGCTGGCTAGTGCAGCACCGAGGCAAAGAGTGTGGCGCCCGAAGGGAGTCGCTCGAGTTCTTCTTCGCGGTTGGGGTCTGTGCCCAGAGCCCCCGCAGGTGTGGAGGGCCGGGGTCAACCTCGGTTTAGCGAAACGGCGGTAACTGGGACAGGAGTTGTGCTGTTGCACGAGGAGTTGCACACTCACTCGCGTGGCACTCGCGTGGCATTCAAGGCAGCGTTTAAAAGGAGCCAAATCGGGGGGGGGGGGGCTCCCCCTGCCGGGACTCCAGCGGGGCGGGCTCGGGACAGCCGCGGCAGACCTTCGGGGTTCCGCTCCTTCCCGGGTCCGCGTCAGGCCCTTGCCTGTAGGAAAGTGAGTCCTGCCAGGGGGACCTGGGGGATGCTGGACGGGGCTCCCCGTGTTCCCTCTGCACCCCAAATCCGCAGAGCTCTCTCCTTCCACTCCCCAACCCCCTGCTTAGCTTCTTCCGCACCCCCCCCCCTTGGCTGCCCCCCCGCCCCCACCCCCCCCCCCCCGGCCGCTGCTCCCCGCTTTTCCCGCTGCATTGGGGACCCTTCCGGCCACCCCGCTCGCCATCAGGATGCGGGAGCGGCCGCCACAGCCTGCAGAGGAGAAGCCTTTGAGCAGACGCCCAACTCTCACTTGGACCGAGCAGAAGAAATGCATCTTTGTTGCTTTGATGAAGCCGCGATAACCATACAGAGTAACATTATTGACTGGTAACATGGTTTCAATAAATACGAATAAGCAGAGACTGGAAACAAGACCAGGAAGCGGCGCCCGCTGCGCTGACATCTCTGGCCAGGGCCGCGGCTGGCTAAGCGCGGAGTGGGGTGCGCAGCAGGGGGTCGATCTCATTAGGGCCCCCCGGCATCTGCGCCTTGGTCGGCTGCGGGCCCCCACCCCAACGCCCCCCCCCGTTGGCTTTGGGGTTTCCCTCCAGGATCCGGCTCGCAGTGCGCCCGCGGGCGTCCCTCTCGGCTGCTCTGCCCGCAGCGAGCCCATTTCCCACGAAAAAGCTTTTCTTTCCGGGGTGGGCCCTCCAGGAGGACCCCCGCCCGGCCTCACGAGGCGTGGCTCTTGGTGCGGGCGACTGGGCAGCCGCAGTGCGGGGCTGGCATGACAGGGAAGCAAGGTTTGGGGAGGGGGGACCTCGCACCCGCAGGCAACCCTTCCTGGACGGCGCGGCTGTGGCGAATCCAGCAAGAGCCAGACGAGTTTGGGCGGCCCTGCGACGTCCTGGCAGGCTGCAAGTAGCCAGAGGCAGGAGCGCGGTCGCCTCGCAAGGTCCCCTTTCGGCTGCGTCCTCTGGCGCGGAGGGTCTCCGAGGAGGCCAGAGGGATTCCCGGGCAGAAGACGTCGAGGGGGAGAGAAGTTTGGGCCAAGCCTGCTGAGCATTCCCAACTCCACTCCGGCACCCCGAATAAAAAGTTTATCCTGCTTCCATCGCAGGCAGAGGGGCGACTCTCGCGCCGAATCCGGGCTCTGCTCCCCCTCGCAGAAAAGCGGGAGGGGCCGCCGTGCCCTTCGCGCAGGCAGGGGGGCTTCTCCTCCCGCGGGGGCAGTTCTGCGGGGGCAGCTTCCCCCACACTTGATGCAGAGGCGGGCTGCGCAGAGGGCCTCTCCACGCCCCGGTGCCTCCTTCAAGGCAGCGGGGATTTCCTCTAGGGCCGGCGCAACAGCCCTTCCCGTGGCTGGAGGGGGCGGATCCCACATTTGGGGAGGAGTATGCAGAGCAGCGCAGGGGGGGCGGGGAAGCCCGGAGCTTTTGGGGGGCCCCGAGCAACCTCGCGGGGTTCCCCATAGTTCGTTTGCCTCTGTGCTGGGTTTTTTGCTTTGTTTTCGGTCTGGATTTTCTCCTTGGCAACTTGGATGGCACTTTTTGGCGGAAGGTGGCATGTTGATTCACGCGTGCCATACCGTATGGTTGCAAGAGAGGCATTTAACAATCTTTCCCATCTTTCTCTTTGCACCATAGTTTTCATTTTAGAAAATAATAATTCCTCAGCAGTGGGAAAACTGATTTAATTTTGGACAAACGAGAGACAGGAACAAGCCTGGGTTTTTTTCAGTTGGCATTCTGTCTACTTGTCCGTGCGACTCCACGAACAGTCAGGATGTGATTTGCAGACACCGGAGCTGTTGATTCAGGATCTGGGTGGACAAGGCAACTCACTCTTAAGAGAAAAGGAGCCCAGGAGGGGTGGGGAATCTTGAAAGAAGTTTTTCCAAGCACGACTATGAACAATTCCTTCGAGAGAAAAGTGTAGAAGACAGCAGAGGAAAAAAGTTGAGTGACAGCCTGAAAAGAAAAAAAGAAGAAAAAACATGTACAGAAAGTGGAAGCAGGGCCTGACCACGAAATAGCAAGGAATTGCTGAAATAGCATCAGGAAGGCTAAGGCAGGAAATGAACTGCGAATAGCAAGGGATGCTCAGCACAACAAGAAAGCCTTCTTCAGATACATCCAGAACAAAAGACGTGAGAAAGAGAAGGGTGTCCCGCTTCTTTAAGCGGATGGCAGAGAGAGAACAGCCGGCAAGGAAAAGGCAGAGGCGCTCAGTTCCTACTTCGCCTCCGTCTTCTCCCGCAAGGAGCTCTGCAATCAAGAGGACGTACAAGCTGGGAGTGAGAGATGGAAGTCCAAGATCTACAAACAAATGATCAAGGGATATCTAGATGGAATAAACACGTTCAAATCTCCAGGGCGCGATGAACTCCATCTGAGAGTCATAAAAGAGCTGGCAGAAGAACTCTCAGAGCCACTGGCTATCATCTTCGATACATCTTGGAAAACAGGAGAAGTGCCAGACGACTGGAGAAGAGTGAACGTCCCTATCTTCAAAATAGGGAAAAAAATGAACTTGGGAACTATAGACCAGTTAGCCTGATGACGATCCCTGGAAAATTCTGGAGCAAATTATTTAAAAACCAGTCTGCAAGCACCTCGTAGAAAATTCAGTGATTAATCAAAGCCAACGTGGATTGATCGAGAATAAATCCTGTCAGACCAATTTAAACTTTTTGACTGGGTGGGCAGCCTCCCAAATGGAGAGACGGATCACTGTGGACATAACCTACCACTTTTCTCCGAAAATAAGACCGGGTCTAATATTAAGTTTTGCTCCAAAAGACACATTAGGGCTTATTTTCAGGTGATGGCCTGTTTTTTTTTGCGAAAGTAAGATTCTTGCCCCAAGAGTCCTCGAAGGAATCGCTCTTTCTTTTTATATTATGTATGTATGTATGTATGTATGTATAAAATAAATTACTTGCATCTCTGCACGGCTTACAACATACATCAGAATAAAATAAATAAATTGACTATTTATTTATTTATTAAAACGTTTCTATGCCGCCCCTTGCTGAAGCCTCGGGGCGGCTCACAACACAAAATAAAATACAATAAACTACAAAAATAACCATATAAAAATAACAATATAAAATAAATAACAATATAAAAAGAAGTTGCCCTGGCCAGGGACTATTCCACCCTGGCTGTAATTAATAAAATACAAACAATAAAATCCAATTACTATTAATACAAATTAAAATAACAAGGTTTTTACCTGGCACAGAAAGGAATATAATGTTGGCGCCAGGCGGACCTCTCTGGGGAGCGCATTCCACAGTCAGGGCGCCACCGCAGAGAAGGCCCTCCTCCGGGCACTCCGTCTCCTAACTTCTTTCACAGAGGGTTCCCGGAGAAGGGCTTCTGCTGCCTTCTGTGCATCGTGTCTGTACTCTGACTGGCCATTTGGCAAGAAGTCCCGCATTCATCTGCTTACATAGGCGTTTACCTCTCATCCAAAGGCACCCACTTCAGAATTTACAAATCCTTAATTATAATGTATATCACCATTTATTTTAACCATTATTTTATTTATTTATTTATTAAAACATTTCTATGCCGCCCCATTCGCCGAAGCCTCGGGGCGGCTCACAACATGAAGTAAATTACAAAAATAACGATATAAAAATAACAATATAAAATAAATAACAATGTAAAATAAGTCACCCTGGCCAATAGTATTGATGCCAATAGTATTGTTTATATATATTTGATTATATATTAACATTATTTTATAATTCGATATGTCTATTGTGTGTTGCGGTGGACATACTACCGTGTTCCCCTGGCTGATGATCTTAACCGGGCCTGATTTTCCGGATAGGTCTTACTTTCTGGGAAATAAGGAACCTAGACTTTAGCAAAGCTTTCAATGCAGTGCCCTCGGACAGCCTGATAAGCTAACTTGCAAAAAGTGGACGAGATGGAAAAACTGTTAGGTGGATCGGGGAGGGGGGGTCCTCTGCCCTTCTTGTCCCCATGTCCCCTCCCTTCTGCTGGAGCAGGCATGGTGGGGGGGGATGATTGGGAAGGGGATGAGGAAGCCCCCAGGAAGGGGATGGTCAGGAAACATACGAGTGGAGAGGGGATCAGACTAACCCCAGCCAGCACTGGTGCCACCTGCTCACCATCATCTGGGCCAGATGCCCAGCCTTCACTCCGAGGAAGCCAAGTTTCTAGCCCTCATGGAGTCAGAAAGCAGAAGGCGCTCCCCTGGCCGATCTCTTGGCCAGGAAGCAGCCCGCCTTGCACCACTCAGCGCCTCTCGCGGGATGGGGCGCCCCAGCCACAAACACTCTTCAGGGCTTGCGCTGGCACACGCGAGGCAGGAACGTGGCTTCCGGCCTCCTTGCTCATCCTTTCGCTGCCGCTTCTCAAGCGCGAATCTAATTGTTCCCCCACAAGTTTCACGCTTCCCGCGGTTGCCAGATGGCTGCATCTCCCTCTGAGGAGCAGCACCGCCCTCTTTCCACCACAGAGCCAATTCCAGCCCGGAAGCTCCCCGGGGCAGAGAACGGTCCCCTGGAATTGCGCAAAGCCCCAGGAACGGCAGAGGCTGCATCCGTCTGCATATGGCGGGCACCCAACTAGCCCCACCACCACCACCACCCCCCGCCACTGCCCCGCTCGCGCAAACACGCCCGGAGTAGCACCTGCGATCAGGGCAGGCGCCTCCCAGGCGCGCCGGGCGAGCGCAGAAAGCCCCGCTCGGCCTGGGAATCCCCGCGCGATCCAGCCGCGCCGCTGAGAATTCGCTGCCCGGCCGCGTCATCCGTCTCCGGGGAGACGCTCGCCCGGCCCGGCCCGGCCCGGCCGGGAAGATGCGCGTCGCAGGGAGCGGAGAGCGCTCCACGCGTGCGCACGGGGAGCGGTGCATTCCGGCCACCCCGTTCCGCCACCCTCGCCAGGCTGGGGGGGGGTGCAGGCTGGGGGGGGCTCCCGGGGGATGCCCCGTTTTGAGTCAAGAGAAGCTGGCCGGTTAATTTCGTGATCCTGGGAAAGGGTCGCCTGAGCCGCCCAGCGCCCTCGAGCGGGAATTGAGGCTGGGCTGAGAGGCGAGAGCCCTAAGTCGGGAGTGCTTCCCTTGGTTCCTGCGGCCCCCGACAGGTTCTTCCGTCTGTCCACTTCGGTGCAGCTCTCCCGGCAGCCTTCCCCAGGTGATCTTCGCTGGCCGGGAGCTCTTTGGGATAGATCTGCACCCCATTGTGTAAACGAGGCCGGACTCTGGCTTCGGCCGAAGGCTCTGCAGGTGTCTGCCCCCTGGAACCCCCACCGCCACTCCGCTTCTCCTCCCTGGCCCAGGCCAAAGCACCGTGGCGGGGCCAGGCTGGAAGAAACCGCTGGGGAGGGTGGGTTGTCCAGGCGGGGTGCGGACAGGAGAGGTTCCGGGGGGTGGGTGTCCCCGCTTTCCCTCGTTCGCACCGGGCAAAGCGCTGCACAGAACACGAGGCGAGGCACACGACCCAAGGGGCACCAGGCGTGGACTAGGCAGGCGCGGGGCGGGGGGGCTTGGGCTAGCCGACTTCGAGGGGACGCGCCGCCCGCTGGCTTCGGCAGAGCTCGGAGCAGCGCCCTTGCCTCCTGGCTGGGCGCGCAAATTCTATCTCCTCCTTGAGTCGCTCTCCGCAGGTCTTTCACCCAGCAACTGCCAGGTCAGCGCCAGCGCTTTTTCCCATTGGCTGAGACGGCTGGGCTGTCCCCACCCCCCGCGGGGCTAGGATAGGGCTAATCTGAGCACTCCTCGCCCCACAGCCTCAGAATCTCTCGTGGCCAGAGCTCGGTGTGTGCTTGGAGAGGGCGAAGATGTCAGGAGCACCAAAAAGCCCAGCGACCTATTTGGGCCTGGCACTGCTGATCCTGCTGGGCGTTGAGCCTGGGCGAGGTGAGGGCCCCGGAGGGCCACTCGGGGGTGGGGGCGAACACGGACTGGCGGGGTGGATTGGATGAAGTCGGGGGCAGGGAGGGGACAGAACGGATCGAGGCCCGTTCTTTTCTGTGGCCCACCTGGAACACTGCAGACTTTCCGAGGGGGGGGGCGGGAGTACAGAGGCACTTGTTCAAAGAGGTGCCTCTGCCCGCCCCCCGCTGAAAGAGGAGGCTCGTGGGGACAGAAACCCAGCAAAAGTCTCCCCGATTGGGCCAGCTACTCCCCTGCAACTCGTGGGGTGCCACTTTCTCTCCCTGGGGTGTAGTCTAGAGCCCCCTTCACGAGGGGGGGCGACTCCCAGCCTTCCCCCTCCCCTTCCTCCTCTCTTCCTTGCTCCCCAAAGCTGTCAGACTGAGGCAGGCAGGGCAGGGCAAGGAGAGAGGGCACAGAGGATTGCAGGAACCGGGGGGGGGGCACCGAAGAGCGCGCTAGCTAGCAGCCCCGCGCCAGGCTCCCCCAGGCAGAAAGAAGTGGGCCAGGGCTTGGACTGGACCGCAAGAGGAAAGAAGCTGAGCGAGTCGGGCATGTTGAATCCGGAGGTGATTTGGGGGTGCCCATTTCCAGATACTTGCAGGGTGGGCTGCCACATGATGGGGGGCAACCTGGCAACCTGGCGGGGGGCGCTGCCACGGAGGAGAGTCTGGATCAGAAGTTCAGGAGCAAAAGAGGGTTAGGAGAGCTTCAGCTGGTATGGGAAATGCTCGCTTTGCTTGGAGGTTTTCGGGTGGAAACTGAAGGGTCATGAAGTGGGGGGGGTGCAGCAACTGAAGATTCCTGGAGGCTGGTCTAGAAGACCCTTGAAAGGCCACCCAGATGGAGAACTCCGCAATTCTGCTAGCCTCCTTCCTGTCACCCCTCCCGTTTCAACACCAAAACAGGATCAGAAGCAACCCCTGCCTCCATGGCCTCCTCCAGCCCAGGAAAGGGGAAGATCGCTACCCCCCCCCCCCCCCCCCCTCCCCCCCCCCACCAGTCCTCTCCTCCCCCACCGCTGCGCTGCGTTCAGGAAGATCCAGTTCCAGCTCCTTCCCTTTCACTTTCGGCGGGACCGCTCCCCCCTCAGGCACCCAGCGGGAAGCAAAAGCACGCGCCCCCAGCCGCACCTGCAGGAAGAGGGCGGCGGGCTCTGGGCGCACATGCGCGGTAGGCGTCTCGGCCCGTCCCTCCCTCCCTCCCTCCCTGGTGGAGGAACCTCTGCCCGTCGACTTCGGCCCCCGCGCAGTCCCTTGCCAAATTGCTCTACTTGCTTAGCACGTTCAGGTTTCGCCCGCCTGACGTGCCTCCGACAAAAGCACTCGATAGATTCTGCACGCCATGATCAATAATTATTTATTTAAAATAGTTTTGCCCCGTCCTCCACGGAAATCGTCCGAGGACGGCTTACAGTACTAAGGACGATAAACAAGCAACATACATAGTAACACACAAGAAACCAAATGCGACTGTAAAGCCAAGTTAAACTTCCTCAATCTTTAACATAAAGGGGAAATGAAAAGGATTTTACCTGGCAATTTAGGAGTTAAAATTCCTCAATGCTTCAAATAAAGGGGAAATAAAGAGGTTTGTACCTGGCATGGAAAAGAACATAAAGATATTGATATAAATTATTATCCTTTCTCTGCACCACGAAAGGGGCCGGCTGGCAGTCTCTGAGAACAGGGGCTTCCAGGCAGGGGTTGGCCCCCCGGGGGAGCTCCAGGGAGCGCTTCTCCTGCGGCTCATGCGCCCCCCTCTTGCGCCCCCCCCCCCAGGAGACGACATCCTGTCGCAGGTGGCCTTCGTCCAGCGGACGCTGGAGTCCCCCAAGGGCCCGGCCGAGTTCATGTTCGAGTTCAACGACGACGAGATCTTCCACGTGGACCTGGACGCCAAGGAGACCATCTGGCGGCTGCCCGACTTCAAGGAGTTCACCAGCTTCCAGGCCGAGGGCGCCCAGGGCAACATCGCCGTGCTGCGCTCCAACCTGGACATCCTCATGCGGCGCTCCAACAACACGCCTGCGGAGAGCGGTACGGCCCCGGGGCCCCTCCGGCCCGGCCCCTGGCCTGCCCGAGCCGGGGCGAGACCCACGCCGGGCGGGCGGGCGGGCGGGAAGTCTGCATCCCCGGGGGGGGGGGACCCCGTGGGAGGCCGGGCCTCCCCGCGCTGAGCAGGGCGCCCACGCGCGGGGCTGACCCCCTTCTCCACAGAGGAGACGGCCAACCGGCCCCACAGCCCAGGACGATTCCGGACCCTCCCCACGGACCCGCTGGGGGTCTCCAGGGCAGGGGCCCTGTCTTCCTGCAGCTCAGCCTCCTTGGGGGGGCAGGGGGGAGAGCGTGGAGCAGAGGCAGGGGGGGGGGTCACGGGGGGGGGGGCCCTTGCCACGCTCCTCGCTCTCCCTCCGCGAGGCAGGCCCTGACCCTGCCCCTCCACCCAGTTCCTCCGAAGGTGACCGTGTACCCCGAGAAGCCGGCGGAGGTGGGGGAGCCCAACATCCTGATCTGCCTGGTGAGCGGCTTCTCCCCGCCAGAGGTGGGCGTCACCTGGCTGAGGAACGGGCAGGTGGTGACAGACCGGGTGGAGGAGACCGACTTCTACCCCAACAAGGACAACTCCTTCCGCATGTTCTCCTACATGACCTTCATCCCGGGCAGGGGCGACGTGTACGTGTGCCGGGTCACCCACTCGGGCCTGGAGCAGCCCTTGGACAGGGAGTGGAGTAAGTGCGGGGCCTTTGGGGGCGAGGGGGCGCAGGTCCCATGGGGCCACCTCGGACGCCTCCCCGCGTTCATGGAGCGGCCACTGGGGGGGAGGCAGGCACGCCGGCTGCTGGGGAGCATGGGGGGAGGCCTCGCTGGGGGACGCGGGGCAGGCCGGATGGGCCCCAGCCCTGGCCCAGCTCCGGGGCTCGTCTCGTGGCCCCCAGGGCCCGGGAGGTGCCTCGGCTGGGAGCCCCCTGGAAAGGAGGGGCCGTGCCAGGAGGGGCCGAGGGCAGGCCAGCTCCAGGCGGGGCTGACCTGGCCTCGCAGGCCCCCTCCTCAGCCTGGCAAAACCCCTCGTGCCCCTTGCGCCCCTCAGATCCCAACATGCCGGAGCCCCTCCCGGAGACGACGGAGAACGTGGTGTGCGGCCTGGGCCTGGCGGTGGGCATCGTGGGCATCATCGCGGGCACCGTCCTCCTCGTCAAGAGCCGGCAGCTGAACGGAAACCGCTTCCGCCAGGGGCCCTTGTGAGTTGTGGCTGCCTGCAGCAGACCTTGGCAAGCAGGGAGGGGGGATTCCCATGGACCGCATGGTGAGCCACCACTGAGGAGGCCAAGCACTCTCCTCCTTCATGAGGCCTAGCAACTTTCTCAGGTAGCTCATCAAAGCGAAATGCTTTTCTTTTGCCCCCCCCCCACCCCACCAAGCAGTCTCTCGGGAAGGTGGCATATGTGGGGGGGGGGCTGGATTCCAGGCTGAGGAAACACCCCAGAAAAGGTCTGGGAACTGGGGGCCAAGCGAGGAGGAGAGGGCTGGGGAGGGGGCAACAGCGGAGGAACCCATGAGGATGCGAGCTTGCGGGAGGCGCATGAGCAGGTTCCCCCAGCCGCGGAGGGGCAGGGAGGGCTTTGTCCTGCACTTGAGATCCACCACCTCATACACCCCTCTCCTCCTGCCCCCTCAGGTAAAGGAGGCACGCGGCTCCCAGGAGATCCCGTCCGGCTTCCGACGCACTTCCGGACCCCTTTGCCCTGTGCTGCTGCTCCTCCAGCATTGCTTTGCTGCTGCTCCCCTGCTTGGACACTTTGGGGGGGCTCTTTGCTGGCACACCCTGATTCCCCCCCCCCCGCAGCAGGACCTCACCCCCAACCCTGTGCACACCTGGCAAAGGGCCTTCGGGGATCGGGCAGCTCCTCCAATTCCAGACAGGGAGGGAGGGAGGGAAGGGGGGTGCGGGAGTCTGCCCCCAAGACACCCCCCAGGGAAGCGGGTGAGCCCCTTTGGATCCCCCCGGCGGGCTTGCCCCATGACGCTGCCCATCCCTGCCCGCCTGCTTCCCATCTCCTGGACCTAAGCGCGCCAGAGGATCGTTCTGGCTTCCCTGGCGGGCCCTTCACTGCACCGCTCGGCAACGCGAGTAGACCCTCCTGCCACCAGCAGATGGCCTCCCGAGGCATCCTCTGGGGAAGCTACGCGGGACGCGTCCTTCTCCGGCACTTGATCGCTCCAGGCCGCTCCAAAAACGGTGGCAGAAGAACGCAGAAGGGCTGCAGGTGGGAGACGTGCCACCGGGACGGCCACAACTTCGTGGGAGTGAGGCAGGGCGATGCCCCCGCCCCCCCCCCCCCGAGGCGGCTTGGCATGCGCTGGGGAGGGGGCGCCAGCCGTGGCTTTGCAGCATAACCCTCTTTCCCAGGGGGCCTCAGCACTGCGCCCCCTCCTCTCACTTCCCTCTGTACTGACATCTTTCTGAAGCCTGAATAAACGATATGGCGTGCGTCTCGGCGTGTCTATGTTTGGTCCCTTTCGTGAGAGCACGCGTGCAAAGACGAACAGGGTTTCCGCCTTGCGCAGCCCATCCCGCCTCCCTGGCGAACGCGTTCAGGGCTTCCCCGAGTCCGCCTCGGTCACCTCCCAAAAGGTCGCACACTCGGATCATCCTGTGGATCCTGTAAAACACGGAGGGACTGAAAACCAGCATCCATGCACACGAACATCCTCTGGGCGGGCTCCGGGCTGTGAGGGCGGATCTGCTCGGGCTCCGGGGTCCGCCGCTTGCACGCACGGCCCCGGGCACACAACCCACAAAATCTGTCCCGGGGGTCTGTGCCGGGAGGCCTTCCCTGAGTTTCTCCAGAGCAGGAAGCCTGATGCGCCCGTCCAGCAAAACGGAGTGGGAGGAGCGGAGCGGGGCCTCTGGGCGGCGGCCTGTGCCCTGCTCGGTCGCGCCGGGGGGTGGGGGTCCGTCGTTCCAGGTCCCAGCCAGAAGCGTTTCGCCCCTTGCCCTGCCCGGCGACTGATGACGAGCCCGCCCGGGTGCCCACGATTGGCCCAGCCCGGGCGCCGCCCCAGGAAAGTCCCTGCAACTCGCAAACGGGGCGGGCGGGGCTGCAAGGCTGGTGCCGTGCTGCGGCACACGCGGAGCCGGCCGCCTCGCCCCGGGTGCTCTGCGCGCATGGCGGGGCTCTTCGCAGCCCTGTCCGGAGAGGCTTCCCGGGGGCGCGCGGAGACCTGGGCAGGTCGCGCGGCTGCTCCGCTCGGGCTGCGGCCCTTCCCGCGTCCTGGAGGCGGCGTCCGTGGAGCTGGTGGGCGGGAGACCCGGGAGGAAACGCGGGGTGTGGGGAGAACAGAAGGACAGCTGGATCTGCCTTGGTCCGTCTAGGTCAGTGCTCCGCGCACCCGGGGCAAAGCGGCCGCCACAGGATCGCTCGGCAACCGGCGCTGGTCGTCGCGAGGCGGGGCTGGGGGCGGCCCCGTGTCCCCCTCCCCCCGATCGGCAACCCGCTTCGCTGCCTGGCGCTGAGGAACATGGGCCCGGGAGTCCTGCTGTGCTCCTCCCGCTTGCGGGCTCGAGCTCCAGGGGTCCGCCCCGGCGCACCGGGCTCTCCCTCACCTGCTCCTTTCCAGCGGGCCAGCACGTGGGAAGAGGCGCCCTGCAGGCACTCGGTTCCGGGGGCTCAGCGGGCTGGCCTTCCCGCGTCCCGGCCTTTGCACGCTGTCGGAGGGGAACTCCCGCTCCCCTGCAGTCACAAACACACGCGATGCGTGGGAACCCTTATTCAGAAGGCAAAACAGAGCAGGTGCAATCTCTGGGCCCGATGTTCTCTGGAAGCAGATGGGCCTCCGGCCCCCCCTGCCTGACTCGGCAGCCCTCAGGAGGGGAGGCACCTCCTGCCTCACAGCGCCCTGGAGGGACAGGAGCTGCCGGGCTGTGTGCTGGGCTGAGCCTGCCCCTCGCTCAGCCCCTCCCGTCCCATTTTCCCGGTCCCCGGCCCTTGGGACTTGCCCCGTGGGGTCGGGGAAGATCCGGACTCACGCTGATTGCTGGGGGTCTCTTCAAGGGGGCGAGGACCTCTGAGCGGCACGGTTTGCTCTCAGAAGAGGGCCTGTGGCTTCCTTGGCAACGCTGAAGGGGCAGAATCGCAGCTGGAGGTGGGTGGGCAAATTGCCAAGGAATCCCTAATTCCTTGCAGCAATTCTGCCGGGCGTGAACTCCGCCCGAGAGTCTTAAAGGGGCGGCAGAAAACTCTCGGAAGCACTGGCTGCGTTCTCCGAGACAGCGCGGAGGGGCCCCGGGAGGGCCAGACGGCCGGCGAAGGGCTAATGTCGCCCCAGCTTCAGGGAGGGAAAGGAAGCAGAACCTGGGAATCGCAGCCCGGTTACTCTGACCTCGATCCCTGGGAAAATTCCCGACCAGATCATGAAGCAGTCAGTCTGCAAAGGCCCTGAAAGCAATGCGGTGATTACTGGAATGGATTCCTCAGGAGCAAATCCCGCCAGACTCACTCGATCTGCTTTTCTGATCGGGTCACCCTCCTGGTGGACTGGGGGAGTGGCGTGGCCACAGTCTCTCCTGACTTCAGCAGAGCGTTTGGCCACTTGCCCCAAGGCCTCCTATGCCTGCCATCCGGAGACGTCTGTATCGGGCGGGTTAGAAATACCCAAATAAACAGACAGACTGACAGACAAAAATAATGCCTAAAGGAGCGCTTGCGTCCATATATGCCCTCCCGCCCCTTGAGATCGGCGGCAGAGGCCCTCCTCCGGGAACCTTCTGTGAAAGCTATTGGGAGGGTGAGTACCCGGAGAAGGGCCTTCTCTGCGGTGGCGCCCCACCTGTGGAATGCGCTCCCCAGAGAGATTCGCCTGGTGAGTCGTTATTTGTTTTTCAGCGCCAGGCCTTTTAATTTAAAGTTTATTAAACATAACATAAACATCTTAAACGTTATTTTAATTGTTGATTGTATTTATTGATTTTATATCTGTGCCAAGATGTCTCCAGATTTTTAAGGTAATTGTATAATTGTTTGTTTGTTTTGGAAGCCGCCCTGAGGCTTTTTGCGAACGGGGCAGCATATAAACCTTCCAAATAAATAAATAAATATCCTAATACCCGTTCAGCTGGATCCACAGCTGGCCCTTGGCTCGGACTGCAGGGGAGCTGCTCAGACTGGGGAGAGGCGACAAGAGAGCGCTTTCAAAAATTGTCAGTCAGAGCAGGGTCTGGATCTCCTCTTGATCCATCCAGAGTGCAAGAAATGGAATGGCGGGCACGGGGAGCCAGAGTCTGCCCCTTTCCTCCGGCGTCTGCAGAAAACCCTCAAGTCGCCCCCTCCGGGAAGGACCACCGGGGACCGTCTCCATGCGCAGCGAGGACCGGGCGGTCGCTAAGCTGCGCTGCGCCGCGCCGCGCCTCCCCCGAAGGCGAACCACGGCTTTTTCCAGCGGTGCGGCCAATGGACACACGCGCTCTCCGTCCACAGAGAGCGAGGCAGGGCTCTGGTGGATTCAGACAGCCGAGCCCGGCGGGAATCTGATCCCCGGATGGTTCGGCTGAGGACGATCGCCTGTTCAGTCCCTCCAGAGGGAAAGAGAACCTGACCCGTTTCCTGCTCCGCATCAGAAATCCAAGGAAGCCTCTGGCCGGATGGATCCCCTCCCATTTCCCTGCCCTCGTTCCTCATCTCAGGCATATCACGGGAGAGGAAAGCAGGCCAGCGGTTCTGCGTCCTCCAAGCAATGGAGGAGGGCAAAAGCTTCCGTCGCTGCCCGAGGGGCTTTTTCCAGAACTAGCCGGTGAGGGCTAAGGGGACAAGGCGGCGAGGCGGAGGGGGGCGTGTGCCCGAGGGTATCGGACCGCTCCCCGCTCGCCCCCTGCCCCCGCGCCCCTCGCGCAGGCCAAGCACCTCCGATGCAGGGCAGGGCTGCAGCCAGTGCCCCCCATCTCTCCCCTGGCTCCTTTGCCGCGGCCCCACGGCTGGCTGGCTGGCTTGGCCCTCGGAGGGTAACGGGGGTGGGGGCAGGAGAGTTGCACCCGGCAGCAGGCTCGAATCGGGGGAGCCGAGGCGAAACGGAGAGGGGGGTCTCCCGCTCCAAAAACGTAGCCGCGCAAGGCAGCGTGGCGGGAAGGAGGCCCTGGCCGGCACCGGAGGCTCGGCCGTGTTGGGGAGGGGGCTGCCCAGCCTTAACCAGCGCTACCGCCCGCTCGCCCCCCCCCCGCCCGCCCCGCCCCGCCCCCTTCGCAGGCTCCGCCGAGCCCCTTAGTGCGGAGTGGGACCCGCCCGGGCTGTCAGGCAGCCTCTGGGGGCACACGCCCAAGACTGTGCTGGGGTGGGGGGAGGCCACGGGGCCGAGCCGGGAGGCTGGGCGAGGGGGACATCAGGGCAGTGATGGATAGGGGTGTCTCGGGTGTAGGGAGTACGACCGGCCGGGAAGGGGGACGTGACCAGGCAGCCACTGGCTGAGCCCTTCTTGAACCCACGTGCTTGAGGGGTGCCCTCGGTTGCCTCCCCCCCACTTCTTGATGCAGCTTCTGAGTGCAGAATGAGACCTCGGCGTCCACGGGTTAATCCTGGAGGGGGCCGCGGCTCTGGCTTGACACCGAGGCTGGGGTGGGTGCACAGCGAGGAGTTGTGCCCATGGGGGGGGGTGGTCCAGCCTTAGGGTAAACCTCAGCAGGGGGGCGCTGGGGGCTGCAGGCATCTCTCCCCCGCCAGGCGCCCCATCTGTCCCATGACCAGTGTTGGCCAGTGGGGCAGCAGCGGGGGATGGTCCCCTGCTGCCCCCCCCCCCGTGACACATCCACCCCCCACTTTAGCTGACAGAGACTGATCTGGGGGTTCTGGGAGATTCCAACATTCCAGCGGGGGCACCCCACTGCCTGAGGCGGCCCAGCACTCTGTGACCCCCGTGGGACTGTCTCCGCCATCATCCACCTGCTGCAGGTGGCAGGGCGGCGCTGGCCGGACTGGGGAGGTGCGGGGGGGGGTGTCTTTGGCTCTGCACCTGAGTCTCAGCCCATCCCCACAAGGGTGGGGCCGTGCAGATGCTCCGCCCCAGAAGAGGACCACCCTAGATGGGCCCCAGAGGGCTGCCTTTTGGGAGTATCTCAATCGCAGGTTCTACTCATGGCTGCAGATGCCCAGAGAGCTCCAGCTATCGGCATAAAGACTTCGAGCTGGCCCGTTATTAATCTGGCTAAGAATAATTGCAATTAGTCCTGATGCTGCCCCACTCTGCTATTTCGGTTTTCTTCATGCCCCTATTTAAAACTTTTCTATACTGTCCCATACTTAGACGTCTCAGGGCAGTTTACAACAAATTAATTCTATACATAGAAATAAAAATAGCAGTTGCCCAGCATCCAGTGTTAAAATATGAACCCATTAACTAAAGCAAGTTAACAGTTAAAATACTGGGAGAATAAAAAGGGTTTCGCCTGGTGCTGAAAGGAAAGAGGCGTTGGCGCTAGGCAGGCCTCTCTGGGGAGCATGTTCCACAATCGGGGTGCCACCGTAGAGAAGGCCCTTTTCCTTGTGGTCAACCTCTTGATCTCTTTCATGGACGGCTCCCAGAGGAGGTTCTCTGCCTCAGATCTCAAGGGGTGGGAGGGCACATGCGGGGAAGGTGCTCCTTCGGGTACCCAGGACCCAAGCCATTTGGGGCTTTATCAGGCATTACCAGCACCTTAAATTGGGCCTGGACTTCAATTGGTAGCCAGTGCAGATGACAGAGGACCGGTGTTATATGGGAACACCTGCCGGTCCTGTTAATATCCTGGCAGCTCTTCCTTGCAGCATTCTCAATGATATTGTAATAAGTACAGCTCCTCAAGGGGGCTTTAAACTGAAGCCTACAGTGGAGGGAGATGCGCAGCACAGCATACCATCACCTGGCAGAGATTTTTATATTCAAGAGAAAAAACCTCAGATCTCAGACGGGGCCGAACATCCATCTCCCAAAACATGCAGGAAGAAAATCAGGGCACAACGAAAATGATCTTTGCCGGCTATGCATCAGTGACCGGTGTATGAGAAACAACCGACTGTTCATAGAACATGAGGTCAATTCTGATCTTAAAGGAATAATGGAACTCTGTAATTGACGCAAGCAACCAGTTCAAGAAAAGCAGTAAGGAAAAAAGGGAAGTGGAGTTGATCTACATGTGAGAGACACATATATCTGAGCAGAAATACAAGAAGAGGAACTTCGTAGCTCCACTTCGTAGCTTCGAAAGCATCTGGCTTAATTTAGAGGGAGCAAAAAATAAGAAAAACATAATTCTTGGCAGTATTACTATCCGCCCAGTCAGAAAGAGGACGAGGATGCAGCCTTCGAAAAGCAACTCGCCAGCATTTCCAAGAATGATGGCATCATCATGGGGGACCTCCGTTTTCCTGAGATATTCTGGGAGACCATTTCTGCCAAACATGGTGCCTTCAGAGATTCCTGACGTGCATTGCTGACAGCTTCCTCCAGCAGAAGGGAGAGGAAGGAACGAGAGGATCCGCTGTCCTCAAATTAATACTAATTAACAGGGATGACTTAGACGAAAAAAAGAGCAGCCACAGGAACTCTGGGAGAAAGTGCCCAGTATTCAGCATTTTTCAGTTCTCATGAATAGAAACATAGAAACAGAGCGAATCAGAAGGGGTCTCCCGGGTCCAGCCAGCTCTGCTCACAGAAACAGAGCAAGTCGGAAGGGGTCTCCCAGGCCATCTAGTCTGACCATGGCTCCAGCCGGCTCCGCTCACGACGTGCCCACCATGTGCATGTCTAGCCTGTCCTTGAACACCCACACTGATGGGGCCTCAATCACCTCCCAGGGAGGCCCAGTCCACACCCGCGGGGTCCTAAGAAGGACTTCCTGGCATCTAAATGGAACCTGGGTTCCCTGAGCTTTGCTCCATTGGAGGCGTCCTGCCTTCCTCTACAGGGGAGAACAGCTCTCTCCCCACCTCCGTGTGACACCCCCTCACACACCTGCATATCGCCAACAGATCTCCTCTGAGTCTCCCCTTCTCCAGGCTGAAGAGTTCATGTTTTCAAATGACATTTTCTGCTTTTTCACCATTCAAGCAAGAACAGTATTTATTGGTGCCAAGTCAGCCTGCAAGTAAGAGCGAAGCTTTTAGGATGCCAAGCCCCAGAATTGCAGCAGCTCTGGGAAAAGCAGAAGCTGGCCAGGAGTGACTCTCAGTGCTGTCCCTTCAGGGGGAATCTGTTGGGTCCTGTGGGTGAGGAAGGGATCGTGTCCTCTCTTACCCTTAATCAGAAACCTGGGACTCTGCAGCATGAATCCCAACCAAGCCAAAAAGTGTGGCTCTTGAGGCAAAATCCATGGAAAATGGGCAGGCATGTTCTGGGCGCCTGGCAGGATGAGTCCCACCCCTTCACCCCCCACCCACCCAAGCAAAAGCAGGCAGGAAATCAGGGAAAGCCAGGTGGTCTTTGCAGGAGCGGTTTCGGCTGCGGTTCTCCTCCTTGTGCCAATCCGTAGCTTCCAGCCCCTTCACCTTCGCGTCTCGCAAGGACAGAATCTAAAAGCTGAGCTCCAGCAGGAAGAATGGAAGTGTCTTCCTTTCCACCTGCACCCTGGTGGACTAGCCGATGAGCGCTGAAGGGAAGGGGTGGGAAAGGAGACAGGGAAGTTGCAGAGGGAACGAAAAATAGGAGAATGAAAATCCATGCCTGGAACATGCAGGAAGGAGAGAGGGTGGGGTGGTTGACTTGTTGGGGGGTTTGCACACAGCCCCCTCCCCTTGCAGCCCCTCAGGCCACCCCCAGACTGATGGTCCTTCAGGACGGCCTGCGAATGCAGCCAGAGGAGGGGAAGCTGCCCACTCACGCCCCTCCCAGGGAACTTCTCCTGCCCCCCAAAGCTGCCCTATTCCCCAGAGAGACGCCAGAGGGAGGCTCAGGAAGAGCCTCTGGGCAGGATTCAGCCTGTCCACTGAGGCCCAGTCCGGAGGGTGGGACACTCTTTCCAACCCTGCCCCCAACTGCAGCCCCCCCCCCCAGAGCCAGACATGTTCCTGCAAAGGTGCAAGAAGAGCCCCAAGACACCTGGGGGCCCCTTCAGACAAGGGTCCCCCACTCTGCACAAGGATCTCAGGAGAGACAGGATGGAAAAGGTAACCAGTGATGTGGGAGGAGGTGGGGAGGGGCCGTACCTGCAGGTTGCTGGACGGGAGACGCTGGATGGTGAGAGAGAGAGAGAGAGAGAGAGTTCAATGCATGGAGGGAGGGGCTGGTCATGGAGTCCTCCTGGTCTTCAGGATAACAGGAGGGCTGTGAAGCTGGAGAACCCCATCCTTTGTCCCTCGATGCCCCCAGGACCCTGTATGGGATCCCTGCACAGTCTGCCTTAGCTGTGCGGAGGGCCCCTAGGAGCCCCCGTTCCATAGGAAGGGACAACACTGAATCCCAGCATCCCAGAAGCAGAATCTTTGAGGGGGCTGGAAATGCTTCTCTTCCCCTGGACCTGCCCCCCAAGTCCTCCAATGGCCCCTTTACCTTTCTTGCTCCTCAGGTAGAGGGAGAGCCCCACGGCCAGGTAGACCATGCCCAGCAGGGCCCCCACGACCCCCGTCCACACTTTGCTCCTGGCCGAGTCAGAAGTCCGCGGCTCTGGGGAAAGAGAAGGGGGGTCTGATGTGGGAGCAGGATCGGGGCCAGGCTCGGCCTCTCATCCCCAGGGACTGACCGGGGGCCAAGTCCATGCGCAGCAGAGGGGGATGGGGACTTTCCAGGCCCACAGCTGATATCTAGGGTGCTGGCTCAGTCTGCGAGGTCTGCATGGCTGCGCTTCAGTCCTGCATGGGCAGGGCAGCCCCAGACTGGAGTACTGTGAGGGGGCAAGTGGGGGGCTGGACAAAGCTCCAGAGGGAAGAAAAAGGGGGAAGTGGGGCCGCCAACATCTCTTCCTAGGGGGAGGCTTTCAGCCACCCACCGATCTCGGCTGTTCCCTCCAAAGAGTCCGCCCTTCCCCCACCCACCTTAGGCCCATCCTTTCCTTCCTCCATTCCACCCACAGACCCACCCAGTGCCCAGGAGTGCCCCACAGAGGGAAGGGGAGGAGGGCCATACCCCACTGCATGGTGATGGGCGTCTGCAGGCTGGCGTGCTCCACCTGGCAGGCGTAGACATCTCCGCGCTGGGGGGTGTCCTCCAGCATCACCTGGGTCTGGTACGTCCAGTCCCCGTTGTGCAGCTCCTCCCCGTAGAAGACCCCCTCCGTCGCCCGTCGCCCGTTCTTCAGCCAGCGGACCTCGATCTCCCGGGGGTAGAAGCTGGCCGCGGTGCAGAGCAGCAGGGTGCGGGGGGAGAGGGGGTCATCCTTGGTGGGGGAGATGGTGACCGCGGGCTGGACTGCGGGAGAGGAGGGGGAGGTGTGAGACATGAGAGGATTGCAAGACCGGAGGGAAGAGGAAGAGTGGACAGGGATGGGGAAGAGGAGTGGGACCCCCGGGGCAGAGTGAGGGGTGGGTAATGGGGGGGGGAATCATTCTTCTCCCTCTTCCAAAACAGGGTCTTCCCAGGAAGCTGATGGGGGCAGTCATGGGACTGTGGGGAGCTGGTGTGAAGGGAGGGGGCTTGATCTGCCCTTCTTGAGGGAGGGGGCATGAGAAAATGCTAATCACCAAAAGGGGGAGCAGAAGAGAAAGGCCCCATCTCCCCCTCCCAATTCCCATTTTTCTACCCCAGGCAACCATGCCCCTCTCCGACCTGCCCCCAATTTGGTCTCTTGTGTGGGTTGGGGGCTTTCTGTCTCCTCTGACCCTCCCATTTACAGGGCACCTCAATTTCCCCCTAATCTGCCTAGCAGCCCCCCAGAAGGGTCCCAACCTGTGCTGCTCATCACTTCCTCCCACAGAAAGCGGGGAAGGAACAGGCGGGACGGCTCTCCTGGCTTGGGACTAACCAGCAGGGAAGGCCCAGTGGGCAAACTGGCAGCAACAGGTCTCGGGGGAAGTGACCGTGCCATACCTGGACTCCTGATTCTAAAGGATAAAAGTCACGTGTAGCCAAACACATACAATGGACTTCCAGAAAGATGATTTTACTATACTCTGAGCAATGGTAAGTAAACTCTCATGTCAAGCGACTCTACTGGAAAATGAAGTCTAAGATGGATGGGAATTTGAAAAAGGAAATGCCAAAGGCACAATCACAAGCAATTCTGACAAAAAGAGGGGGAAGAAGACAAAAGAAGTCCAATTCAGCTTAAAGATGATCTGAGAACAAAACAGGACATGCACAGGAAGTGGAAGGAATCATGGAGTTTGGGAAGGGCTAACGTTGTCCCAGTCCTCAAGAAAGGAAAGAAGATGAGCCTGGGAAGCTCAGCTTAGCCAGTCCAAATCAATCCCAGGGAAATTCTGGAGCAGGTCCTAAAGCAGTCAGCCTGCAAACACCCCGAAAGCAATGTGGTGACTGCGTCTCTGAATTCTTTCACGCAGGCAGGTTTTGGGAAGGGCTGCCCTTCCACCGATCACTGTGTGGTCCTACAGCATCTCCTGGAGAAATACATCTCGACAACACAACCTCGCTCTGTGTGGTCTTCCCAGATCTCAAGGCAGCCTCTGATTCCACCTGGAGCATTAAACTGTGGGAGAATTTGGAGTCTCCTGCTGACCAGCGCCTGCTCTGACTCGCTCAGACCTGCGTGGAGACGCTTCACTTTGGGAGGACGCGGTGCCCAGGGCCGTCTTCCAAAAGCTGCTCCAACGCAAGCAGGGGGCAAACGAGGCCACATCCTGGCCCCGCTTTTGTTTAGGACTCCAAGGGCTCCAACTAGGCTTAGAAGAGCCTTGCGGAAGGCAAGAGGGTTCTGCGAGCAAGAAGACCTGACACCAAATTTCTCAAAGGAACAATCAGGGCCTTTCTTTTCTCTGTTCTTCACTGCGGACACCCCTGAAAAAAGCCCGTTTCTTCTTCTCAGCGTCCCTTCGAATCCGCAGTTCATTTCCTTGTTGATCTTCCCGGAGTCAGTCCTGCTTGCCTGAGCCACCCGCCTCCCCTCCGCTTCGGCCTGGGCCCTCCTGCCCCTTCTCGGCTCGCCCTTCTTTGCTTTCAGCTCCACCCAAAGTCTTTTGTGGAGCCAGACTGGATTCTTCTGTCTCCTGCTGCATCTTTTATTTTTGCTGGAACATTGTGGAACTGGTCCTTTCGCATTTCTTTCCTTCCGCTCCCACCCACCTCTTTCCACTTGCCACAGCATCTTCCTTTGAGTTTATTAAGATCGGTGTACCCAAATCCAGATTACATGCCGGCTGCCTCCACTTTCGCTCCCTTTAAGATCCAGAGCTCAAGTACATTGTGGTCACTTCCCTAGAGTCCCCAAAGGGGCCTTCACCCAAGTCAACCATATCGGTCAGCACAAAATCGAGGACAACCGAGCCCCAGGTTTCCCCCCTTCTGTCGGAGGAATGTCCCTGCCATGATGCAAGGATTTCCTGGGGGGGACACAGCTCGCTGGGTCAGAGAAGGCAGCATGGTCGGATCCTGCATTCCCCACATCCCACAGTTAATGCTGACATGTGAGTCAAGCCTGCATAGAAAAGCGATGTTTGGATGAACTAACACGATGGAGGCAGAAAGATGCTGGAGGAAAAGCGAGGTCTGGATGCCTTTTCGGAAGCAGATAAATCTATTATCATGTATTCCAATTCCAGAGGAACGGAAACAGCATCTGAATTACACAAGAACTGAAACAGAAACCCTGATTCAGAATTTTAAAAGGAAAAGCCCCAGGGCATGAGGGTTTTGCAGCGCATCTCTGCTGGACATGTGAGGCTGAAGTGGCTCCGCATCACTAAAAAATGTTCAATTAAGGGGAGAGGAAGCACCTGCATCTCGGAAATCAGTGAGAAGTTTAGCTATTCCAAAATCAGAGTTTGATTGGTGGGTCACCCCCTTCCATGAATCAACCAATCAGATTGCAAGCTTGTTGTCAGCTGTCATGAGACTCATTTTGATATATGATAGTAATGAAAATTCATGTATTTTAACCCAAAGATTGGGCACTTTCATAATGAAATACAGGTGAAAATATGAAAAATGATGTCAGTTAGAATTATGCAAACTTTTAAACATTAGTATGGCATTGGTATCCATGCCAGTCAAATTATTCTATATGGATAATCAATATCTGAGTTCTTGTTAGAGATGTGGGGAAAAAATGGGCACTTATTTCCCTAAGTGGTGGGATTGTGAAAATATTAAGACATTTTAGAGAAGGGTTTTTAAGAAGATTAGCAAGAAATTGAACTTGAAAATTGAAGCAGATCCTAAAAAGCAGTATTGCTAATATTTTACAAATAGAAATGGAAATACAATATCAAAAAATTAATAATACATTTGGCCACAAAAGCAAAACTGATAATAGCAAAGAAAAGGAAGGAGAAATGGGATCTTCACTGAATGGAATACAGAAATCTGGAATATGGCTGTTAATGCAAAGATGAAATGGGATTAGGGTGAAAAACAGGACCGAGAAAGAATGATTGTAATGATCTATGGATTTTGTTTACTGAATACGTACTAATGCAAGGGAAGGGTATTAAACCTTCGGCTGATTCAGTGAATGCAGTTCTGGGTGGAAGGGGGTATTCCGGAAAGGACAGAGAGTGAAAGCTACAAGCAAAGAAGAGGAAAGAGACAAAGGTACAAATATTATACAGCCACGGTCCCGGTGGCAGGATGCACAGGTTGTGATTTGTTCTTTATATAAAGGGATTTTTTTTTTTTTGGTAATTAGTGTTGGTTTTTTTTCCTTTCAATTTTATCATGTATTTTATATTTCTATTGTTTTCTAGCAGCTTAGTATAAATTATTATTATTTTAAATTATATCTACAAATTTGTGAGGATATATTCAGAAGCAATAATGCAGAGAATTAAACATTTTGTTTGAGTGTAAACTGAGAAAATGTAAGATGACGATACAGCTGATCATATGGAATGGAAATACACATTTGAACTTACGAAAGTGATAAATATGGGTGAGATGCTCACTACGCTTGTGAAATAACTTGTATGGAAATGTGAAGTCTGTAGTAATGGTTAATGGTGTGGATTCTGAGAAATTCAGGAAGGGCAATCATTTATCAGCATTGATATTTGACTGTCCCATAGAACCTCTTGCAGCTGGGCTCAGAAAAATGCTAATACAGATAAAAGCTAAGCAACATAACATTAATTTGTATGCAGATGATACGTTTGTTTTTTTAAAAAATAAAAGAATAGGGCCTCTAAAAAAATAGAAACATTCAAGGGCTACAGAGCTTAACTTAACTATGAAAAATGTAAATTATTGTGTATCAATATCTCCATAGAAGAACAAAAAGAAATTCAAAGAATGTGCAATAGATACCCTTGTTACTTTATAGAAAGTATGAGAATACACGTAATTTTGTGAAAGGAAAAGGAAGAAATGGCTCAGATTCAACTTACTTATACTAAGCAAGCATGAAATAGTAAAACTGCTTCATATACTGTCCAAATGCTCAGTTTTATTCCACAAATTCCCCCCGTTTCCGGATGATGTTAGAAGAACGGTCCGCAACGTGGGGCGCGGGGTCGGAGGGGCGCCCCCCCCGCCGCTTCCCCCCCAGCGCCTTCCAGGGATGCCACCGGAGGCGCCCCGCCTCCTCCCACTGAGTCGCTCCGGGGGGGCGAGGACGTGGATCCCCCCCGGGCGCCCCCCGGGGTCCCCCGATCCCCCTGCAGCGCGGAGGGGGCGGCCCCGCGGACGCGCGCCCCCCATGCGGGGAGGGCCAGCCGGGGCAGCGGGGGGGGGCTGCGGGCTCCGCGCTCGCGGTGGGCCGCCGGGGGGGGAGGGGGCCGCGCTCCGCCGGGACCCACTCACCGCGCCGCCCGTGCGCGAAGGGGCCCACGATCTCGTAGTTGTGCCGGCAGAAGCGGTCCACGGAGGCCCGCCTGTACTCCAGCTCCTCCTTCTGGCTGTTCCAGTACTCGGCGTCGGGCTCCCCCAGCGGCGTGAGGGCCTCGAACCGGCCCCGGGCGCTGTCGAAGCGCGCGATCTCCGTCCGGTCGTAGATGTGCCTGAACAGGTAGCGCACCTGCTCCCGCCCCGTCGCGTTGGAGAAGCGGCACTCGGCCTTCTGCTGGTGCAGGAACCGGCGCGGGGCTGCGGGGGGAGGAGGGACCCCGCCGGGCCCCGTTAACGAGCAGCACAGAGGGCCAATCGCCTTGCAGGACGGAGCCTGTGCCCGCCTCCCCGGACCCGCAGCCACTCGGAGGGCAGCACCCGCCCCACCCCCCACGGCCCCCCCCCCAGCAGGCACCCCCCCCCCCCCCCCCAGTCGGCCCCCAACAGCCCTGCGAGGGAGGCTGCGCGGAGGGGCAGCGGCTGCTCACAGGCACCCAGGGAGCTCCGTGCTCGGATCAGAATGGGAACCTGGGTCGCCAGAATCCCAGCCTGGCGCTGTAACCACTGCACCACACACCCCTGCCCCCAAGCCGGGATTCGGGACAGGGCAAAGGAGGGAGTTAGCCTGAGGGATTCACCTCCGCAAGAGGCAGAGGGGGCTTGAAAGGGGATCAGGTGACTTCAGGCAAGAGCAGAAGGCCATCCCAGGGTGCTAGTCCTCATGGCCCCATGCTACCCTCAGCGCGTCAGGAACACCAGCTGCCGGGGAAGATGGGTGCTGTTGCTCTCCTGCAGTGCTTGTGAGTTCCCCAGGGGAGGAGGCCGGGTCTCCAGGACTCGCCCGTCACACACCAGCTGATCTGACTTGTGAAAAGTTCTTCCACCAGCCTTCCCAATGGGCTTCCCTTCGGATCTCTGGGCCTGTAACTCCCACCTTGCTCTGCCAGGCAGACCTTCAACAGGTCAAGATGCCCTTCTGCACTGGAGGGATGAATACCTTGCGTCCCAGTTGAACTTCTGCCTGACATCATGGATGTTGGAAGGATTCTTGCCAAAGGCTTCTTGGAGGACGCAAGCCTGGGGCAAACATTCCTCCAGAGGGGCTGCAGGGGCAGGAGGGCAGGGGCAGCTTCTCCCCACTCTCACCCCCCCGTCCCTGCAGCCCCCAGCTTCTTCAGGGGGCTCCCCCCCTTCAGCAGGAGCAGCTTGTCCAGCAAGGAGAGCAGAGAGGAGGGACGCTTCCCCTGCTGAACTTCCACCTGCCGCGTAGTTGCGGAGAGCCCCAGAAACAGACCTCCTCTCCCTGCATCCCATCCCTCCTCTCCTCCCCTTCAAAGCATCCGGGGAGCAGTCAATTCACCCCCTGGCAAAGCACCCCAAGCCATGGATGGGGGCCACCTTCCCAGGGTCTCTGAGCACCTATGGAATGGCGGGGGGGGCACCCCTCAGGCCCTCCCCTCTCCCAAACCCCTTGCCCCCCCACCAGGGACCCACAGTTTCATCCCCAGGGCAAAGGGGGGAAGCAGGAGGAGGCGAGGGAGAGGCGCAGGGACGCCGCGAAAGGTGCTCCAGCCTGGAATTCGGGGCTGCCACGGACAGGCCATCCTGGGCGCTTCGTTCAGGGGGTCACCAGAGGTCGGAGGCACCCAGACAGCCCATAGTTTCGCGCCCCCTAGGGTGGTGAAGGACAGAGAGGGTCCCGCCCTTCCTCCCCCTCCAAGCAGCCCCCTCCTCACCTGGGGGGTCCTGCCTCCCTCCCCCTCCGGGGACCAGCGGTGGCCCCAGCAGAAGCGCCAGCGTCGCTGGAAGGATCCAGGCAGGCCCCATGGCTGCTGCTGCCCCACAAGTGGACGAGGGGAAATGCTGCCTCAGCCCCAGAAGGGAAACTTTTTCTTCTATAAAGTGTGGGTGGGGGGCAAAGCTCATGGGAGGGAGCCAATGAGAATTTTCCCTTGAGCAGCGTCATCAGTTTCCGGGCAGAGGGAGCCCGGCTCTGCCCCTATGAAGCAGATTGGTTTTGGCTGCGAAGGAGGCAGCACAAGCTCTGTGTTTATGTGGGGGGGGGGGGGCGGAATGAATCAATCCCACCCCCAGTTCCCCCTCCTGCCAGGCTGGCTGAGATGCAGGTCAAGTGGGGGTGCGTGTGAATGGGAGGTCCTTTTGAGCAGGAGGGGGCCTCAGCCGGAGTTTTGGTTGAAAAATTCAGGTTTGAAACGTCCAGCACCCCATGACCTGGCAGTGGGGTTCTTGGGGGATTGAGGGCTGGCCTGGAGGTTCGTGTCTCCCCCTCCTCAGTCGACTCCTCCTCCTGTGGGGCTGCTCCCCAGGCTGCCTCCTCAGTGGGTCCTCCTGGGTTGGATCCAGACCCTCGCACACCAAGGGGGCCGGACTCTGGGGCCGGGTTCTCACACAAGGGAAGCCACGGAGGTCCCGCCACAGGATGGTCTTGAGGGGGCTGATCCGGGGCCTCGACCTGCCGCTCAACAAGTTCGCTTTCCCAGGAACCGGCGAGGAAGGAGGGCTTGTGGTTTGGTCTCCAGGCGGTGCCAGGGCTTCCCTGTCACCTGAACAGGGTTCTCATGTGACGACCATGAAGCCCAGTCTGAGCCTCGGTGCCGTGGCGAGGAAGGGGCTGCGCCTGAGCGGGGGCACACGAGGGGCCGAGACTGGGAGACTGGTCCCAGGAGCCCCTTGGGCCCCCCGGCTCCCTTGTCTTGCCTCTCCCGGGCGCAAGGGGGAATCCCTGCGTTCCCGCCTGGCCAACCGAGGGGCTGCACCTGCCGGAAGCCTGCATTTGGCAACGGGCTCTCCCTGGCCCAGCTTCAAACGTTCAATGTCCGCAATTGCACAATTAGCCTTCATTTTCCAGACTTGAGCTGGAAGAGAAAAAGCCAAGACGGCCGGCGGGACTAGAGAGGCCCTGTGTCCTCTGGGGTCCCCGTTTCACAGAGCGGCAGCCTCCTCCCTGATGTGCTAGATGTCCACTTGCAGGGAGTTAACTGGCTCTGGGGCAGGTGCAGAGCTCGTCTGTGGTGAAGGGGGGGCCCTGGACTCAATGGGGGGATTGCATGGGGGACGCTTTGCAAATGCCACTGCTCTGACCCGCTTTTCTCCAACTGTGAGGAGGGGGGCACGGGCTCCCCCCACCCCACAGGCCTGCTGGTCCCCCAGACAAGGCCCCCCAACCACTTCTTTCCGGTTTCCCCCTGCAGGGCAGGAGTGCTGCGCCCTGAGACGCCACTCGCTGGCGGCAGGCGGAACAAGGCCGGGCGCTCGGGTTTCGCTTCCTCACGCAGCAGCCGGAGTTGGCGTTTGGGGAAGCGGAACGGAGGACTGGCCTGAGCCGGGGGGGGGGGCAAAGCCCATGAGGGGGTGCAGAAAAGCGCCAATCAGGATTTTCCCTTGTGCAGCGTCACCAGTCTCCGGGCAGAGGGAGCCCGGATTTGCCCCTACGATGGAGATGGGTTTTGGCTGCGAAGGGGGGCAGCCCAAACTTCGTGTTTATGGGGGGGGGGTGAAGCAACACCCCCCCCCCGAGTTCCTCCTCCTGCCAGGCTGGCTGGGAGCTTGTCAGAGAAGTGAGCCCAGGGCCACTTGCATCCAAAGCCGGTGCTGGTCCCTTCCCCCTTTCTCCCCAAAGGAGAACACCCATCTGAAGCTCCCTGGGGGGGCCGGCTTGGGCTGGGACTGTACCCCTCCAAATCAGATGGCCGCTCGTCTGTTTGGATGCTCCTCGGGAGCAGAGGCTTCCTCCAGCCGGAGGATGGAGCAGCTGCAGCGCCTCAGGCGTCTTCTCTGGTTTGCTGCTTGACCCTGACAGGTTCCCCAGGAGGATCCATTTTGTTCCGGGAAGCAGCGTGAGGCGCCATCTCGGAGGCATTGTTGGACTTGGGCTCCCTCTCCGCCATGGCCAGCACGATGGGAGGTGCAATCCAGCACAGTCCGGAGGGTCCCGAGTTTCCCACTCTGCCTGAGCTAGCGAGACAGCCAAGAGCGGGGCTGCACACGGGCGCAGGAACGCAGCTGAGTCGGGCACGGAAGTGCGCAGAGAGGCTGCTGGAGGGGAAGCCGGGGGCACCCAGAGGGGCACCGTGTGGAGGGCAGCCCCTGCTCAGAGGCCGAGAGGGCCTGGCCCCAGGGGGCAGCCGCACGTCCTCTCACAGAAGAGTGGGGGCCACCCGCGACACCCCCGGGGCCGGCACATGCGGGGGCCTGGCCTGGGTTGATCGGGGACCGGCTGGTTTGCCGTTCTGCCAGGCCAGGATGTCCGCAAAGCTCCCCACCAGCACCTGTTGTGGAGGCTCCCCTCTTCCCCAACCTGGTTTCCTTCTCTGCCCAGCACTCCCTCCCAGACGTGGGTATCGGGAATGCAACCGTGCGGGTGACCCTGGCCGTGTCTCCAGGAAAGCATCATGATGCTCTGTGGTCTTTTCTAGTTCTCCCCTTGCAGCCTTCTGAGTCTCCATCTTCTTCGGATTTCTTGGCCTCAGCCTCCCTCTGAACTGATGACTCAGCCAAGGAAGTAGAATCTTTAATTTCAGGTGTCCGTTGCTGACATTAATGTTCTTGTGTTCAATTTTGGATATAATATTTAGAAAAGAGGCAAAAGCTGTGGGAAAGAAATATCAAGGTAACATTAGCAAATTCGTAGAAAGAAAACTTGTATAAAATGTTTTATGGATGGTATCTGTCGCCAAATAGATTAGCTAAGATGTTTCCAAATATGTCAAAAGGATGTTGGAAATGTAGACATAAATTGGGTACTTTTAATCGTATGTGGTGGACTTGTGATAATGTGAAAAAGTACTGGATTAAAATACATAAATGGCTCGAGGAAATGTTACAAAACTCCTTAGCTTTTAAACCTGAAGTTTTTTTATTAGGCATTATACCAGAGGACATTAGTAAACAAGAATTTTTTTTGATTTTACATGTAATCACTGCTCGGGGATTGCATTCGCTCAACACTGGAAAAGTGAAGAACTGCCCACCGATGCACTGAAGGGAGAGCCCCCCAGATCCCCGAGGAGTTGGTTCCCCTGTCACACTGCCTGACCCTGAGGCAACCTGTCCCTGCTGCATTTCATCCTGCTGCTCTCAGCCCGGGCTTCAACCCAGACAGTTCTTTTCGCTTCTGTCTTCTGGGGAAGTAGCTCCCCCTCCCCATTTGGGGTCACTGGGAAATTTGAGCAGCATTTGGGATCAGGGCTGCTCTGGAGGTGGAACCAGGACACCGCCGTGGTCGCAGGATCGGTCTCGGGGCCCTGC